TCTCTCTGTCTCATTTTGTCTCTATCTATCTATCCCTCTTTCTCTCTGCCTTCTCTCTTTCCTGCTGTCTCTCCCCCTTTCTATGTATGCCTGTCTCCGTGTCTCTCTTGCTCTTCCACCAATGAATTACCCCTTCCTCCCTCTTTCGAATACCCTCTCGTCATATCCCTCTCATCTTCATGCTCTCCCACTCTCACCCTAGATCTTTTATTCTTCATCTATATATCATTTATTATCTTGTCTTATTTTATTGAACCTTTTCTCCTTTATAACACCCTTGGTCTACTTCTTCTTTGTTTCTAATTCTTCTTGGCTTTTTATCTTCTCCTTCTCGTGGGTCTTCCTCTTATTGGAGGCCATTTTATTCTTTCTTTCTTTTTTCTCGAATGAAACATTTGATATTTTATATAAGACATATGCCTTTAGATGAATCGAGCTTCAAAATTGTCATGTTTAATTTTTAATGATATAGTGACGTCGTAAATGGAGGCCTTTTTTGATTGCATTTTAGCATTACATATTGCCCTCGAATGGCGGAAATTGTTTTTTTTAATAATTGATACAAATCGCAATTTACTTGCTCGTTGCATTCATCAATTTATGATCACCTACAGTTGTACTACTTATCCTGATTATAGTATGTAGAATTGAATTCGGTTGTCAACAGCGGTGTTCATGACATGGCTCATTGAATAGATAATGATGATTGTGTGTTTGTCGTGGACGATTCGTTGCACTTCCATGGCGCTAATTCTTTTTCATCTCATTTCTATTTGTTACAATGCTGAAAAATAATGAATTATGTTATTCACAATTACTAATTTCCATACATGTATTCACTTAAAATATGTCAATGTATTTAAATTGTATTATGCTTCGTTTTTTGTTGTTGCATTGAATATGAATCAAAGCAACCAATCAATCACTCACTCATGCAAATATTTGAATTCGAAGAGTCATATCTTTAAATGGCATAAATGCTTTGACCAAAAAAATAAATCGTCTTGGAAATCCTTTTAAAATGGTTCATCCTTTATCTCTAAGATATTCGATATACAACACTAGCTAGGAAGAAAAAGCGGGAAGTACAGATTTAGAGAGTGAGAGAGAGAGACAGAGAGAGGGGGTGTGGAGAGAGAGAGAGAGAGAAAGAGGGGGGGAGAAAGAGGGGGGGGGGGGAGAAAGAGAGAGAAAGAGAGAGCAGAAAGAAGTGTGTAACTTGACTGCTTCTGGTAGTAAATTTCATGATATGATTCTATTAGTCAGTGCCATTTCACTCATGAGAGAACACGATTGACTCTAAATGGTTTGAGGACGGAAAGCTAATGGAACGAAAATGAACATTGAAAGCATGCAATTTTATTAAAAAATGAGATGAAATCAAATTACAAGAAAAGGAACCTTTTGAAAGCAAGGAAACAACAGTAACCACGATACGGTCTGGATGTGAATGTGGATATAGATGCGCAAGCGTGTGAGAGAGGGTGTGTGTGTGGGTGTGTGCGTGTGTATGCAGGGCGTCTCATTTAAACATTTTGAAAAATCGATAATACTTTATACTTTAAATATCATATGACTTTTTTTATATTCCTTTCAGCAAATCTTATTTTTTAGGATCCCTTTAGTGTGACACGACACCTCGTCATATTTGTATTTGACAAAAACAATTTCCCCCCTTTATTTTCTTTGAGGTAACTGTTTAGGAATGCCTTCTATTTTATTTGTGAAATAATGATTTGTTTTAGTCCACGTATATAAAGGTGGAGAACCGGCATGATACTACAAACTTACGGCCTTCTAAAAATTAAATGGCCGGTTTCATGATGTACTGAATAATCGAATATCATGAAGACGACGAAATCAAGCTAAGGAAATTCAATTATTTGACAGCACTATTCAAAGACAAATCAAAGCTTCAAAATGTTCTCATCTGCACTAGATGTCAGTCTCTTTCTCTCTCTCTCTCTCTCTTTTTTTTCTCTCTCTCTCTCTCTCTTTCTTTATCTCTTGTTCACTCAGCAATATCATCGATTAATGGTAAACAGGTTCACAAAATTCACACTAGGGTAAAAGTCTTTGCGAGAAAAAAATAAGCACTGTATAATGTTGGCAATTTCCGGCATCATCTAGGATCTGATGCCCATTTCAACCGCAGTTCTGAATAGGAGACTTGCTTCTCAATCGTGATTCATAGAGAGCTATCTGCCGTTATGAATAGAGGACTTTCTTTGCAGTCATTATTTTATAGACAGCTTTTTTTTTGTTCAAATCATTTCTAAATACGATCTAGAAAATTAAATTAATTAATTAAATTATGTTCAACGACGAATTATGCTTCATAGTCTCTTCTTTTACACGTGATCAAGGCGTGACAGTATAACGCCCGCTGCACACTAAATTGGTCTCATTTTGGAAGAAGAAAAAAATGAATAAGTGTATATGCCACCAGGGGCGGCGATCCCGTGGGGAGGGGAGAGGGGGACACGCACCCCGAAAAATTTGAAACAGTGCAAAAAATAAATGTATAACAAATACTGACTAAAGACTGCAACATACTTTTAGGGGTCTGGATGGCCCAAGAGTGCAGCGTTTGGACTTAAACAAATGCAAAAATCTTCTCACTCGGTCGCTACGCTCCGTCGCATAATATCTTTCAAAATGTACGAGTAAATATTGTAGGAAATCTGCATTTCGTTGTTATCACGTAAGCACAGTTGACACTATATATTTACAAGATTAAGAGTTATATAAATAGATAAGAGCTACAATAGTGTCATTTTGCATGTTACAGGTAATCCTTAAAGCTTATGTACTAGTTTATAGGAGGGACAAGGCTACCCTGCAAGGTCACTGGACAGGTGGTTGTCTCATCAACTCAGCTCTCAATTAACATAAGAAAAAGAGGATCATGGGGAACCAATGGTCACCGATTAGGCATTGTTTTCTATATAAAGGGAGCAAGTAGCTACACGTAGGACAGTGTGGCTTTAATGTTGGTTGCTTTTAATAGTTCACTACCACGTAGTCTATATGTTTGCCATTTCAACTCCCATAGCGATATCAATGTACATGTACATGACAGAGGCCTAGAGTGTAAAATATAAATCCCATCCATGCCCAAGCTCCCTACTTACTAAAATTTCCCTACTAAATATTTACAACCCTTATAGAGCTGCATACTAATTACCGGCAAATTAAAAGTGAATGGTGAAAAAAGTATATTGCTTGTTTTTATACTATACTTTTGCTAAGGAATGTAATTTTTTAATAGAACAAAACTTTAAAAAACTGTGAGGGGGTAGCCACTTCCATCACCTTCGCTCCACTATGCTCCCTCGTCCCTCGCATTTCGTCCCCCGCTCCGGTCATGAAAAGAAATCACCGCCCCTGTATGCCCCTACATTATAATATAAGATTTTGTAATGAGATGCTACATTATATACAGCCATTCTTGTATGAAGTGATTTCAGTGATACAGCATAATGTGAATCGCTTAAAACTTTAGTAATAAACACTACAATCAATCCAACTTTTCAACATGGGGTACTCATAATTTAATGTCAGTGGCATTTGAACAACGTAAACAAAGCAAGACGCAACATTGAAAGAAAGTATATACTTGGCATACACGCACTGAAGGTAAAGACCAGTTATGGTGATGCGATTGCAATGTGAAAGAAACATTGTGGAATCGATCAGAAAAGGTTGATCATCTAGCATCTAGCATCTACAAGGTTCTGGAATCATCAAAATTATAAGAAATTTGGCCCATTCTTTGTAAAGTTACAAGCACTATACACAGAAAGATGTATATGGGACTACCCTATATCTCTCACAGTCCATGAGAGAAACAAATTTACCAAATATATGAATTAGTAGGCGGTTTCCTGGCAAATTTTTTATCATCATGTATTAGTCAAAACATATTCTTTCACATGATTGGTAATGAGAGCTTCCATTTCATTTTTTGAAATTGGGGCGTTTCCAATGCTGGTCTTTACCTTTAAACAAAAAATTGCAGCATAATTTTCAAATTTTCAAAAAACCATGAATCCTGCCCCAATCCATCATTCCGTTTAAACATTTCATACTTGAAAACAAATTTTTGAAGGGCATCTTTTTCTTGAGTTAAACTTACATAGGTTCCTTAAAATGCTTAAATTTGTCAACAATATGAATCGTAATGTTGTATGCCACATTGACAGACTATTGTGGAATGATAAACATATTGAGCATATGGTTTACTATTTATCGTGGTATATAAAACGACTGTTCCATATTTAACTTTTGAAATACCACAGGGCAGGCCTGGGCAATCACACATAAAAGAACATTTTATGTGTAGTACACAGACTGAAACATCGCTCTACTCATTCATTATGACACTTAACATTTTACCAAAGTTATCAGACTACTATTTCAGAATATTCACTCTTCAAATTGATTGGCTTTGCTTCGTTTATTTCCTGTTTTTATTTTATTGGGGTTTTATGTAACCATCCGTATTAATCTTAATCTAGTCTTTAGAAAAATCATCCAGCATATCCATTGAGAGAACTAAACCTACATAACTATCTTGGCGGTATGAGATAATAGATACAAATGATTTCGTATTCGTGATATATAGATAAATGGACACATTTATCGTGCAAATATGCAGCCGACGTTATTAATTTTTCATTCATTAATTTAGTGTATTTACACCATTGATCAGGCACTTATGTACAAGAAAACCCCGTGTGAAAGAATAACATTGATAAGTATGTGCAGTATACCGACTAAACTATAAGCAAAGTATTCAACGGGAAATTAAGGAGAAGGTGTGGCTAAACTATTACAAACACCAAGAATACAGTCTTCTACAATAGTATCTCAATCATACTTTAAAAACTCAAAGATGGACCCATCAGTCCATAATATAAATATTTATCTTAAAGTAGTTGAAACAGATTTTAAAATCAATAGCCAATCTAAGAGCAAGAGTAATTATAAGTATACTTCTATTCTGCATACATCCGCACCCATGACACAGGGTTTGGGATCTTATCATACTGGCATCTAAGCAAGCACCTGAAGACCTGCTTGAAATGTGGATGTTTGTCAGCATAGATGAGAGGGTTGATGCAGCAGTTGACAGACATCAAGATGAAGGTATAGATGGATGGGATTTCATGGCCGGGGATGAGGACACAAAGGGTATGAGGCATGACGCTAAAAAAGAAGGCACAGACAACACTGAAGAGATTCTTGTTGATCTGACTGTCTCTCTTGCGGATCTCGGGTTTGTCCTGTGGATTCTGTGGGTTCTCTAGTTGAGTGTCGGTCGCTGCAGAAGGGGCAGCTGTAGGCTCTGAAGGTAGGTTGTTGTTTGCCATCACTTTCCGTTGTTCCCGAACACGCATGAAAATCTTGACGTAGCAGAAGAGGATGAGGAGAAATGCCAGAAAGATATTCACGAAGGCGATTGTCTCGTAGATCCCGATAGGGTCTTCAGGCTTGCTGAGCCAGCTACACCAGTGTTGCTCATCGGAGTAACCCAACGTCTCTATGTTGATCAGTTCGGGTATGGCTAGACATAGAATAGCTTGTAGCCAGGCCAGGGTTTGCATCAGACATAGCTTCGATGGCGTATACAGTCGTTGGTAAGCCTCTCGTCGACGTGTGATGAGATAGTAGCGATTGAAGGCGATGTTCGCAAGCGTGAAGACACTGGTCAGTGTTAGAATGTAAACGGACGCTCCGACCACTTGGCAAAAGGTAGGATTCAAAGGCCACTTCGCAGGGTGCACAAGCCCAAGGCTTTGGAAAGGCAAGATGGCACACGTCAAAAGATCTGTTATGCTGAGACTGACCACAAACACATTGGTGATCGTATGCAATTTTTTTGAAACCGACACGGCCAAGATTACCAGGCTGTTTCCAAAGATCCCGATTAGGGATATGATGCAGAGAATTGTAGCTCCAATGACGCGATGAATGTGTCCTACCTCAAATTCTTCCTCATCGTGTCCCCCAGTTTGATTCATGACAGTATTTGTATCTGACATGTTGACAGTTCCTATATTTATGCTCACTCTCAGCTCTCCTCCTTGCTCATGCAGCTTGTGTTGTGATAATATCGTCACCGTTAAGGCGATGGTTACACGCATACATAATTATATGCAATATGTAATAATGTTGCAAAATTGATTACCGCGTATCCTGAAGATCAAAAATAATATGGCCAGGACTCTCTTTCATGCCTTTAAGATAACATTGAAAAACACAACTATAGACGAACCACTCTAGAACTAAGAAGTCGTTCAAAGTCGTTTTCTAAATATTTTTGTTGGAATGTAATTGCAAGCACCTCGGACGATTTAATATAAGTAATAGCACGCACGTCAATAACTTTGTTGAAAGGTTTCTCAGAAGCCGTTCAAATTATTCACGAAGGGATGGTCACGCTGCAAGAGTGATAATAAGAAGCACGGCGTTTCGTAACTAATTATGTTACGCAAACGGCTTATTTTGATTAAAAATATTCACCACAAAAGTTGAGAAAATTAATTTGCCAATGTTCATGTTTGAGCCTCGTCTTCACATAAACGGTAAATTACAACGCCTCTTAACTACTTTCTTAATATAGATTGTTATTTTACCATGAGCTGTACCATTCAAACTGAAACATGTCGAGAGAGTGGATGAGCCGTGTGCCTCTGTTTAGTAGATTGCCTGTGCAGATGAAAAATTGCATAGTCCTTTTATTTCTGCCGTCGCATTTCAGGAGAACGACTATTAATGTATTTCAATTTCAAGCGCTCTCTATGGTACTCATTTTTGCGCTATATACAAAATCTATTCAATAAATAGTTGCCATGGGTTTGTATAATCTTTTCATCGATCATTTCTTACCCAATCCTAGTAGAATAATCCGTTTCAATTGAATGTACAAAAAAAAATGTCTACCCACCTTTATATGGATTATAAAGGTCAAAATATTGGACTCGATAATTAAATTACCAGTAGTCCAAATACTTGCTTATTGTATTTGATAAAGGTTTATTTTGTCGTGAAACTATTTACCTTATAAGGGCACTATCAATATAAAGAGAAAAAATGTCAAAAGGCTATGACCATGACAAGCAAATATTTTCTTTTTTCATTATCCTGATCGTGCGTGGCCATACGATGCATGCACTTATATCATGACTTGATCTTTCCATGTGCATTATTGCAGCAATTATAAGGAGGATTCGCTAAAAATCAGTCTCGGATCTTCTCTTTATTCATGTACATCATAAATATTTTCAACAGGTTCGAGGGAAGGAAATTGTGAACAAAATGAATCTAATAATGGGGTACAATTTAACCAAAGACGATAGCAAGAATGCAAAAATCATAAATTTGTTCATGTCCTCATATTCGAAAATTTAACACAATAGATTCCAAATAAAATCTTTGTAAATTCATTTTACCAAATCATGTGTGAACATAATCTCCTATAAAACGACCGAAAAGAATATCAATGGATGTCATGTTTTCACGAAGATTGATATAAAACTATATCGAAATCGATTTCGCAGTATTTAGAAGACTTACAACAAGGTCTGAATAAATAAACGTTTAAACAAAAACTGTAGATATTGGCGACTGATTAAATTGCTTGTCAAACATGAATGCATTATGAAAATTTGTTTTAAGTGCTTGTTCTTCCGTTATTACCTTACATAAAGCTCTTCTTCATGAAGCACAGAGTCGATTCTCAGTGAACCCCCTGTCATACTTGGCAACTGATTAAATTGCCTGTCAAACATGAACCCATTACGAAAAAGTGTTTTAAAGGCTTGTGCTTCTTTTATTACCTTAAACCAAAAAGTTTTAAGAGATTAGAGTCCTATAGCTCATTCCATTTGTACCATCTTCGATGCCGCCATGAGAAAATATGTCAGGCATGTGCTTAACTGGATCTTCCTTGCAGATACGTAGACAAAAGATTTCTGCCTAGCTGCAAACTTCTGATAATACGAGCAGTACACAATGCTTACCTTTACAGGAGGCAAGCGAAAGGAAATGGAGCAAAATTTCCTGAAATATTAATAAAAATTACTCGACTGGGAATGTGTGGGCACTAATCTGACATATAACATCATAAAGAACTGTACATGAACAAATCCAATTTTTATTTTCGTGAGCCGCAAGTAATCGGAAAGTGTCAAATTGCACGTTTTATGACTGTAAATTGTTACTATTTTTCACAAATTAAAGCTGCTATCTTGCAATGTAAACAAATTTCTTGAGACAATTAGGCTTTTGTATTCATATTTTTATCATCTGTTCGATTTTCCCCTTGTTAGTTGAAATAAAAAGTATTAATATTGAAATATTAAGGATATTTATTTGTGACAAAAATCACTACTCAGGCTTCCCAATGATAGTGGCCGCTTCAAACCTCGGACATCAAAGGTAACAGCACACAAGTAGATTCTATTGTGCAACCATAGAAAACAGCAGCTGCTTGGAATAATTTGTTGCCAGTTGGGTCTCCAGCTCTTAAAACTCCTTGAAGCACAGAGACGATTCTCATGAACCCCCTGTCATGCATGCAGAACCTCTTTTGTAAAGAAACAGCTCTGGCCTTTCGATCTACGACATATTGGCATTAGATCGATGGGAATGATCTTCCTGGTATTATGATTATAGTATTATATTATTGTTGGTGAAAACGAAGAAAGGAAATGTTCCCTGAGACACAATACTGGTTACTGTTGACTGAATTGATATGCATGTCTCCTCATAATGTGTACTTTTTGAAAGATTATTGTGACGCATAAACTTAATATGCATTCCCATATATTTCAATATTCAGATTATAAAATATTTTATGTAGTGACGTAATTTATGCTATGAAGTAAACACCCTTTGGCTAATCCACAGTCCATATACAGCATTGCCACCATCTATACGTATTGTTAAAGGGCAATCCAGCCCTTGTAGTGAGTTCATATTATGTATGAAAGCTAAAAAAAAATGAGTCAGTGGATTATAGATTAAATTCTACTGCGTGTCATGTACAAAAAAAAAAAAAAAAAAATCTTTCTTCTAAGTGCCTTCTCCCGTGGGGTACTACTAAAAATGGATGGCATATTATTATAGGTCCTCTGAATAAATAAACGTCAAAGAAAAAAAAACCTGTCGATATTGGAAACTGATTGAATTGCATGTCAAACATGAATGCATTATGAAAAATCGAAATCGATTCGCAGTATTTAGAAGACTTACAACAAGGTCTGAATAAACGTCTAAGAAAAAAACACCTGTCGATATCGGCAACTTATTAAATTGCTTGTCAAACATGGATGCATTATGAAAATTTGTTTTAAATGCTTGTTCTTCCGTTATTACCTTACATAAAGCTCTTCTTCGTGAAGCACAGAGTCGATTCTCATGAACCCCCTGTCATACATGCAGAACCTCTTTTGTAAAGAAACAGCTCTGGCCTTTCGATCTATAAGACATATTGGCATTAATTAGATCGATGAGAATGATCCTCCTGGTATAATGTTGGACAAACGGAGAAGAAAATGTTCCCTGAGACACAATACTGGTTACTGTTGACTGAATTAATATATCACTATGTCTATGCGAATCTCAAATGGTCAATGGATTGTGACGTCGTGGTGGATATCAATCTCTACTGTATGTCGTGTACAATTTTTTTTCTTCTCCTAAGTGACTTATCCCGTGGGGTACTACTCAAAATGGATGGCATATTATTATATGTCCTCTGAAGAGAAAAGGCACTGCTGAGTCATACATTTTTGTATTTGTATTTATTAGAGAACTTCATTCACATGAATACTTTGTTTAACAATACATGGGCATGGAAATTATTACAAATATTGGAATATTGGAAAAATCTTTTGAAAGATACATGGAAACCATAAAAATGATTGAACAAGTATGCATTTATGCAATACTTCAAATTAGATGAAATGTTCAGTAAATGACAAAGGGTAATTCATATAAAATAGTTATTGTTAAAAATTAACCTATCTATTGCAAATGATACATGGGTAAACCTGATAGCAATAGTTATGAAAACATTTTTTTTGGAAACAGTTCAAATGGTCAGAAACTTATTCTCAGATTGTTGCTATAATTCATTTTTTATGTCCCCTATTCATCACAAGGATTTGGATTAAATCGCTTCAAAATGTATTGCATGTGTTACGTACACATATACAAAATAGCAAATCATATGACAAAGAGATATTCCCTCAAACTAGAGATGTTATTCTACAAGACATTACAGATTCCATGCGGCTATCGAAATTCACTTTGGGTATTTGACAAAATACTTTAAAAACTGATCGATTATATTTTCATCGTGTAATTGTATAACTTGTTTTGATCTTTAAATTCTCTAGATATTCCTATTATTATATTATAACAATTTTTGTTCAGCGTTTTATCTTGTATATTCCATTACAATGTGAAATTCATTTCCAACTTTTTCCGTACTTTCACTACAAGTTCGTAGATGTGAGGGGTTTTCTGGACGTCTATGCCGGTTTTTATTTGTAGGTTGTGTGAACCAATTCTAAATCGACATATATATACAAATACAAAATTTATTTGTTTGTACTTAACGGGTTTTCAACATAGAATAAATACTTATCTGTTTCTCTGCCTTCACAATCTTCACAATATAACTCATTTTGCTCATTTCCATAGTCACTAAATAAGTCCATCAAGAACTGACGTTGGTATTAGTTTCTCATTTTGAATTCTATTTCTTTGTCAACGATTTTATTACTATAGATACACTGTCGCTCATAAAGGTGGAATATTTTTTTTAAATTCCAATTTATGGAATTATTTAAAAAATAATTAAAAAATAATAGATAAAGATAATAGTATACATTCTCTGATTTTATTGAGTAATAATTTGCCAATGTGTGTTTTGCGTGACTGCTAAAGCATGTGTATGCTACTATGCTTATCAACTAGGGGACCTATGCCCTTAAGTCATAAATGACAGTAATGAGGATTAATGCCCCACAAAAGGGCACTAATATAGCACATCGACACGGTTTTGATCATGGGGCCTCACAGTTACAAGGCCATTGCTTTGTCACTGAATCATGACTGTACGCAGCGGGGGCTAGGGTAGGGGGCAGTTTCCATAAATTTAAAAAAAACACTGAAAATGCAATAACTTTTCAATAATTTATTGCATTTAACCCCGGTGCCTAACATAAAAAAAATTCTGTGTGCTCAAGCCTTGAGCCATAATGCATGGCCGTCCAGATGATTTTTTTTATGTTGGGGACCGTGGTAAAATGCAATAAATTATTGAAAATTGATTGCATTTTCTGTTTTTTATTTTATTTATGGAAACTGCCCCCTACCCTAGCCCCCGCTGCGTACAGTCATGGTTCAGTGACAAAACAATGGCCTCGTAACTGTGAGGCCCCAGGATAAAAACCGTGTCGATGTGCTATATTAGTGCCCTTTTGTGGGGCATTAACCCTCATTACTGTCATTTATGACTTGAGAGCGTAGGTCCCCTAGTTAATAAGCATAGTAGCATACACATGCTTTAGCAGTTCCGCAAAACACACAATGGCAAGTTATTATTCAATCAAATCTGAGAATGTATACTATTATCTATATCTATTATTTTTAAATAATTGTTTTAATAATTCCATAAATTGGGGTAAAACTAAAATATTCCACCTTTATGAGCGACAGTGTACTATCTTCAAGTTTATAAACATTCATCATTGTCATCTACATATAATTTACATATCCTCAGGAGCTAGTGCCTGTTCCCGAGCTAACATACAGATTTGTTCCTAACCAGTTTTTGGTTTCCTTGAAGAGAGTGATATTAAATGAATAAAAAGGAATACATTTGTGGAAAAAATGAAATTTTAGTCGTTTTATCTGATGGAACAAATGGGAATGTACTGTTATCCTACAGTGATTACAACTTTCAAAAATTCATAACCTTCTCATTCTTTCCCGATTCATTCCAACTCTCACTCGTCTACTTCTCTGATTGTCTGCTTTCTCTAGTCAGAATAGGTAGATAATAATAATAATAATAATATTGGCATTTATATAGCGCTCTTACAGACATACATGTGTATCACAGCGCTTTACAACATATTATTATTACCCCGGTCATCGGATTCAGGCTTACCCGCACACAAGGTATGCACATTCTCCACTCCCTGGGGAGCATTCCAGCCAGTCGCCATTTTACAAGCGCCACTTGCTAATCAAACCACATTAGCTTTCGCATCCTACCGGGTACCCATTTTAACACCTGGGTGGAGAGTGGCAAATGTAGATCAATGTCTTGCCAAAGGACATTAGTGCCGCGGCGGGACTTGAACCGCGGACCTTGTGATCCACAGTCCGGTGACTTATCCACTCGACCACGACACCTCTACAGATAGTGGTGGTTATGTTACCTGACTGCTAAGAAAGCTTGTTTGTAAGCAACCAGAAGACCGACGGCTTTAGGTCCTCTCCTCTCGGTTTGCTATTAAGGTTGGATTTCTCTTTTGAATTATACAGGATAATCCTCTATTACTAAATCGACGAGTCCCTTCTCCTTCCCCCTTCTATAATGGTTAATATTTTAGTAGTTGGTTAATATTTTAGTAGTTGTTACTCATTTGAAAGTATGTAATATAAAGCTATGTATTATTTCGAGGTCTCCAAGCAATATACTTAGGTTTCGCTATTTGAATGAACGAAGCATGTGTGGTGAACAAACAAATTAATCAAGCTATCTTGGGTACTCATACACTTCTATTAGCCTAGTGTAATGTTTTTTTTTCTTTTTCAGGAAATGTCAATATGTTATGAGTTATGTTAACTGTTGCTTCAACTTCAAGTATGCATGGTATATAAGCCTCGTTGATTTTGGCTATACAACTTACAAGTTCTTTATCGTTACGACTTGAACGTCAAGCCAAACCAATGTCACGATCTGTGACGTGTATAAGGGTAAGAAGGAGGATGACATGAGTGTATTGCAACAGCTTGCCAATCCTCTGGAAACCCCGGTGTTTTCACTTCACTTCTTTGTATTTTTCCGTTTTCTGATCATCTTTTTCTATCACTGCCCAGGACTGCAGCTCCGAGGTGCAGAAGAGAAGAACGATAACCTCAGCAAAAATGGCGATGCCAAACGCGATCCAGTACATCTTCCGCCATCCAAGCATGTCAGCCTGAGAAGAAAAAGGGAAAGTAAAGAGAGATACAGAGAGATACATAGAGAGAAAGAGAGAGAGAGAGAGAGAGAAAGAGAGAGAGAGAGAAAGAGAGATAGAGAGAGACAGACAGAGACAGACAGAGACAGAGACAGAGAGAGAGATAGAGTCAGAGAGAGAGAGAGAGAGAATTAGTTATTGCCACAGGAAGGCAGCAATGGTCCAGCTATTGTGGTAGTTCTGTTAATCAGGGGCGGCCGAGCGACTACCAACGTGGGGGGGGGGGGCACCAACAAAAAGGGTTACTTGCTGGAAAATAGGGTACCTACAAAGGGAAATCTCAAAGCGAAAATATACAATTCTTCTCATACATGTTTACATTTTCAAAGATGATATTATTTTTTTTTTTTATACATCATACAATATATTGCTTAAGCATCATGCTTCTGCAGTTGAGTGTGATTGTCTGAAAATTTATTTGCGAGCGAGCGAAGCACGTGCTCATAACGGAAGACTGAAAAGACCTTTGATAAGTAAAATAATTATATAATCTATTATCTATTATAATCATCATTATCTTTGATAAGTTTTTTTTTCTTATCTGTCTGTAAATATTACCTATTTTAACTTATTAATGTTGTACATGTATGTGGGGAACCCCAGTAGAAATAAGCTCTCGAGCTTTCGTGGGTTATCTTGTTCAAGCTGACTTAATTTTGATCTGTTATTCTTTTATATTGTTGTATGTTTGAGGTTTGGCGAATAAAAATCAATCAATCATCAAATGCGAGCGAGCGTGGCGAGCGAGCTTTGGGGGAAATTTCTCTCAGTCGCTTGAAATTGTGGGCACGTTTAATGATGAGAGGAAAAGGGGACACTTATCGAAAAGGATAATACATTTATTAGAAAAGAAAAGGAGCACGTACATGTCAAAGTACAAAGTGTAATTATCAGAAGTTATGGGGCACTTCTTACACCTAAATAAAGAGGCACTCATCAGGGATGAAAAAGGTACTTATGATAATCGGAAATGGGCAAATGTCGACGGAAAAGGGGCACCCATCAGATTTTGATAGGGGCATCTATAACAGGTGAAAAGGGAGCATTTATGAAAAATGGATAGGCCCAAATTATTAAAAAGGAATAGGGGCACGTATCATTGTTTAAAAAAGGAAAATTATCAGAGGTGAAAAGGGGCACTTATTGCATCTGAAAAGGGGCACTGACTAGATATGAAAAGAGGCACTTATAAGAATGAGAAAGGGGCACTTATAATAAAGGAAAATATGCACTTATAAGAGATGAAAAGGGGTAATTAAGAAAGGGGAAGGGGCACTAATAAAAGAAGGAAAAAGAGCATTTATTAGAAAGGAAAAGGGGCAAGTGTCAGAATAAAAGAGCAACTTATCAGAGGTTAAAAGGGATGGGAGCACTTTTACAAATTAACTTAGGGGCACTTGTCAAAGTAAAAGGAGCATTTTTCTTACAGTATATTAAAAAGGGGCACTTTTGGAGTACCACTCTGCCCCCCCCCCCCTCACCTAGGAGGGCCGCCTCTGATGGGGATACATGTATCAGGGCGCCGACATTGTCATCAAGACATAAGCACGCTAAGAACATCGGGTGCCTGTTGCCCCTCCCCCTCTCGCTCCAACCACTGTCTCTTATCCTTTTTTTTCGCCATTCAGTGTAATGGCACTAGCTCCCGTGCCCCCTCTGTATTATACGCACTGACCGATTTGATTGTTTCGATTCATGCAGGTATAGTAGTTGTCTCGATATAAATTTATATACGCCTACAGGTCATAACAATTTTTATTGTCATGCCAATACAGCGTTTGTCTCTGCTCTAACTTTTCCTCTGCCTCTCTGTCTCTCCTCCTTTTCATTCTCACCTGATTTTCAGTAACAACACCTGCAATCATAGGCGACAAAAACCCAGGAGTGTTTGCGAAGGTGTTTGCGATGGCCGTTACTATTCCGGCGTAGGGTGTTGCGAACTCCATCTGCGTGAGGGATGCGCCCGAATAAACGAGTCCCGTCGAAGCTAGACCAAGAGACAACATGGTGATGGTGGCAGCGGCATTGCATCCTGTATATCCCGATGACACCATGAACAAGGCCGAAAAGATCAGACCTGAATGTTGAAAATATTATTTCTTTATCAATAAATAAATATGAAAAAACCTCAATAATTGCGTCAAAAATTGTATACCGCTCTTGCAAACTGTATAATTATGTGAAAGTTTTCCGCAAGTTTCGATAAGTTCTCATTCAAAAATTGTGTGAAGTTTGTTTTCCTATTATGAAAGATGGTGCTCTTTAAAAGCTTGCGTTAAACAGATTTTGAAAGCACTTTCAAAACGCTCTGAATCCAACACTCGTTTGAATAGTTTTGAATACAGGATTTATCAATAGTTTTTACAACTTGCTTTCGTTTGGATTCCTGATAGATTCGTTCATTGGCACTGAGCAATCCCCAAAACTCGGTTGAACTATGTAAAGAGAAACTGTATGACTTAATACGCAACGTTTCTCTTCGAAATTTGCCACCAAATTGATGACGTTACGCAGCTTCCCATAATAGTGTTCAGACGGTTGAATTGTGTATATTCAGGTAATATAAGACATTACCAGGACTTTACCTAGACTGGTCATTAGTTTTCTGATTACAGTTCTAGAGAGTTTGGTTCTTGAAATCAAGTAGTCGGCGAGAAAACCGCCGCCTAAAAGTGTCATAAGGAGGATAGCATAAGGAAATGCCGATAGAGCTCCAGCCTGCAAATTGATTAAACATGTAAGAATAATGTTAAGAAGTTTTAGTAGTGTCTTTATTGAAATAAGAAGTACCATGTACATATTATACATATACATTTATATCAACAATTATTGTAATATATATGTATAGGTTTTAAGTAAACATACTGTACGATTTTTAAGGGAATAAAGGTCTGTCATCATAAGAAATGCGTCGATACGACTTGATCTTGTCAAGAAAGAATAGGATTTGATAGATTCAGCCTTCGGGCTTTTAATATGATACCTTCAGATTTGTTAATTGGAAAGCGGCACTATATTGGTGAACCATACCAACAGGTTTACAGCAAGTTCACATGAATTTGTAATTTGATAAACCTGAAATATATTGAAGTCCAACTAATTTAATTTTAGCCTTTGTTTAAACCGCAGATAATAGATGTTTTATCGTTACACAGAAGAACAAAATCTCGGTTGATATTAAGGGTTGAAAAGTGCTTACGCTGCAAAAGAAGCCGGACAATGGCCAATAAAATTCACCGCGGGTGTTATACAAAATCCTATCTTATTACTTGCCAGGGAGCAAATAACATTTTATTGAGATAGTTGTTTAAACTGCGGCCATAAACAGGGGCAATCAAAAAAAAAATCCTTTAAAACAAAAACAAACAAAAACAATAATTTCTGCAATGTCAGCGTTTATCATCGTTAGTCACGCAGTGGTCGTAAAAAACAGATAATTAAAGATACTGCTGGATTAACACCATAACGTGGGGTTGTCAAACAGCCAAGAATCTAGTCTTGAAAAAGTGTCTTTATCAAGTGATTTATCTGCTGTAGCCTACTTAACGCTTTTAATATTCGATTTACATGACTTAGACAGCAATATCATTCTTTAGACTTAGAGGAATATAAGCGGTGTTAGTTTAACGGAAAAGTTACTTATAATTATCTCATGCATGATTCAAGCAGCACCATGGATAAGCAGTCTAAATGAATGCATAAAGGTTTTTAACTCACTGTTATGACATCGAATCTAAGAGCTTCGCTCAGGAATATTGGTAGATTGGTTGTCAATGAATGCAAAATCCACAAGATAGCGAAATCAGCCATGCCCACGGCCATCACGGGGAGTGACGTGATAATCCGAAACCATGGATAAGATGTAGGAGGCTGGAAAGTCGAGTGATAATGATTATTGTTCAACATTTTCAAAGATATTTTGTTTGCACGTCGTTTTCATTTTCTGTATGAAGTGAGTCACGAGAGATTAGAAACAAAAGAGATGTGAAATATTATGTGATGTGCTTTCCAGTTGGTAATTAAGAACTTCAAATTAAGATGTTAATCCTGGCAATGGTGAGAAATAAGGGGAAAAGTACATCCATTTAGGCCAATGAGATGAGATGATTTAAAGATAAATCAAAGTGTTTGCAAGAGTGCAGACCAGGGTCAAAAAGTTGTTCGTTAATTTTAGAATGTAGAAAATGCCGTAGATCAAATATGAGTTGTTTAAAGATTACAAATTTACTCTTTTTAGTGTATACGATCTTTTTTTCCTTGAAAGTACCTCGCACTTAGGGATAAAGTACTCTTTACTGCGCCAATAAACCATATTATTGCTTGATGTTTATTCATGGCAGGCCTTAGCAAGTATGTAGAAACAAAGATGCAAGAAGAACAAGACGAATAAACAAAAATTCATCACTGACATTATCCATGATCTTGACCAACACCTTGATTTATCTTGTGGAGAAGAGAAATAATAATATGAAAGCTCTAAAATCCAAGATGGAAAAAAAAAGTAGACACCCTTCTTTCAAAATGGACCAGGCCATCTTCCTCATCTTAAAGTTGTATCTATACTTTGTTCCTTTGATGACTATAGAATGATAAAATGGATGATTAGTATGATGCTTATGAAACAGGCACTTCTGTTGAAAGATGGAAATACCTTCTTCCACAGCTGAAGTTCTTTGATGAGGTATTCTTTCTCTTCAGAATTAATGCTTGGATGGGAATTGGGCGAGTCATAGATGAATATTGTCCAAAACACGAACCATGTGATACCTATTACACCTTGGATAACCAAGCTGGGAAAAAAGTAGACACCCTTCGTTCAAAATGGACCAGGCCATCTTCCTCATCTTAAAGTTGTATCTACTTGTTCATTTGATGACTATAGAATGATAAAGTGGATGATTAGTATGATGCTTATGAAACAGGCACTTCTGTTGAAAGATGAAAATACCTTCTTCCAGAGTTGAAGTTCTTTGATGAGGTATTCTTTCTCTTCAGAATTAATGCTTGGATGGGAATTTGGCGAGTCATAGATGAATATTGTCCAAAACACGAACCATATGATACCTATTACACCTTGGATAACGAAAAAATGGATTAATTATTTAATCAATCAATAAAATAAACAAATTAATAATTTCATAATCATAAGGTCAATGGTGTTCTTTTGCAGACATTATGACAGTGTACCAGAAACATAAATGGGGGCCTGTGTAAAACAAACAAATGAGCTTTTATTAACACCAGTAATTTGAAGCTCTGAAAGTTTATACATTTTTTAATGACAATGCAAAGTTTCCCACTACTTTCATTTTTTGTCATGAAATGGTTTCCTTTATTTTTCGTCTTCTGAGACGACCAGAGTGCGTTCACTCATTTTAAGCATATTTAGAGTTATTGCTGTACTGACTCTCCACGAACGTAGACATTGTATAGAAATTGTATTTTTGTTCTAATGACCAAAGCAGAATAATACCCTCACCATATCCTGAAAATTAAATCTGTCCTGAATATCTCACTTCTGTTTTGTTTCAACTCTGAAGATAAAAACACAGTGACCATAATTATTGATGATACACCGTTGTCTATAAAGTTATATTCATGAAAATATCATTTATTCTTGATGGATGATGTCTGTATCTTCTCAGAACCTAATAGATCAATCTTCTCTTTTGATTTATTATCTTGGGACGATCGTTGAAATAACACAAACCGGAAACATGTAGAGGCATCAGCAGAATTATACAAACCATTATATTCTTACCTATCATATAGAATGATGACGACCATCCATAAGAGGATTCAGCTAAGAGACCCGAGATCGGCTGCATCACTATGTGCCCAATCGGAAGACCTGAATCAAAAAAATTAAAAGATGTTGTTTCAATGAGGTCTAGTTAACACTTCATCTATATGCAATTAGCGTGGATTTCGATCTGGGTGATTTATACTAATAATTTATGTTTCAATAGTTCTATACACGTTATCATAATAAGCCACACTCACTTACTCCATCAAACACCCGACCTTCACACCCCCTCCCCACCGGTTTCAGTTCCCTAAATTTAGAATTAACTAGACTCTAAAAAGAATATCACTGATAATGTCACCTTTGCTTCCAACCATGGAACCGTACCAATCATGCTCATTCAAATCACATTTAAGAAGAACCTATCAATGTTAAATATCCTTTTTAGTAAAAATATTAAGGATATCCCATTTAGGCGACGAGACTTTCAATATTTTGTCTCATAATGAAGTTGTTAGCAGCTCAGTCGGTTGTTGGACTCGTGGGTATAGTCGGTCTCGGAGGTTGCTGTAGTCGAAAATATATTTACCAGTTTATTAAATTCGTCACAAATATTATCCTAATCTCTCCTTCTTTCTCGATTGTATTACCTTCATCAAATCAAGGGAAATGTTTACCTGCGTAGACAATAGCAAGGAGAATACTTCGATCTGCGGAAGGAGCCCACCGGGACATGAAAGAATACATCGATGGGTAAGTCCCACTCTACAAAAGGATAAACATTATTGAAATTAATTAGAATGCAAACTGTACAAATCGTACTATATCTAATTCCCGATCCACGTACTTTTGAAACTCATAATTCATCAGAATTATTGTCACAACAAATCCTGTACCATATAGTTGCAACTGGTTTTAATTGGTTTTAAGTGAAAAGGACAGAACTAAATAGTCTCTGCTGCATAATTATCTTGAAGACAGTAAATTATTTTACATTATTAAAGGTGACCACACTTGTCATTGTTCAAACTATAAAGGTAGCAATCCTTGAACGTACCTCAGCCAATCCACAGATGAATCTGGTGATGAAGATAGCTGTCACACTATGATGGGCAGCGAGAGGGATAAGCAGAGACCCCACTGAGGATAAGAAGACACCCAACCCGTATATCCAGGAGCAGGACTTCGGGTATCTGTCGGATAGGATACCCGCGGGCACCTGGAGAAGCACAAAACCGTAGTAGTAAGCCGACAGGATGAGCTCCTGTGTGTGTGCATCCCAAGGGAACTCGCCTTCCTATAATGTAAAAGAAGATTCAAAATCAAGAAAACAATTTATCTAAATGTAAAGAGGCGATTGTCAAACAATATTTGTACTTCAAGTGGATGTTTCCTTGTAAATCTGCAATAGTTTTGATTGATATTGATTGATAGATTGGTAGGTTGCAAATAACAATAATTAAAGCATAATACATTTTTACAAAACATTGATATTTCTTATGATTATGCACAATGGCGTAGACAGGTTCGTACACCTGGGGGGGATGACTCAGGGGCGGATCTAGCTTTTTGTTAAGGGGGGGGGTGACCAATAATGACGATGCGGAGCATCGTCCACGAGCCGCGAAGCGGCGAGCCGATTTTTTTTGGGGTGTTATTTTGAACCCCGTATGTGATGTTTTCCTGGCATCTATTAACACAATGGAGACCATAAAAAACAGTGCATGATAACGTCTTTTTAAATCAAGTAACAGTTAAATACACAGTTATATCCAGAGTTATCATGTGTTTGGTTAAGTTACCAGATGAGTTGAATATCTTTTCACAATATTTGCACTTGAAAGGGTTTCTCTCCAGCGTGCGTTCTTTTTTCTTTCTTTTTTTCTTTTTTTCTTCTTTTTTTTCCTTTTTTGTTTGTTTGTTTTTTGGGCCGCCCAAGGGGGGGTTTAAACCCCCTAACCCCCCCCCCCCCGTAGATCCGCGCCTGTTTAATCTTGTGGTTATCTTGTGGTTTCCAAACCACAAGATAACCACAAAATACTTGTAAGATTTTCTTTTTGTTACCGTCTGAATTGGCTTTCACCGTGTGAATGCGGCTAATAACAATAAACACAATTACAATAATGATGAGGATTATTATTATCATCATCATAATTATTATTATTATTAATATTATAATTGTTATCATTATTATTATTACTATTATTATCATCATAATTATTATTATTATTAATATTATAATTGTTATCATTATTATTATTACTATTATTATCATCATTATTACTTATTAAGTAAGCAAATATCATTCCCCAAAACCTGGGGGGGGGGATGATTGTACATGCCATCCCCCCCACCTTGTGAGGTGGGGGGATGCATCCCCCTCATCCCCCCCCCCCCCCCGTTGTCTACGCCCCTGATTATGCATGTGTGGAAGAAAAATCATCCTGGATCGTAGTAATTAATAACATGAAAGAAATTTCAATGTTACGAATATGAAAAGTAAACCTTCTTAAAAGCCAGAGTAGTTAGTGAATATACTGGATTGTGTATGAGGTCGTTATACATTTTGAATGGGAGGTGAGGTTTCTGACCACACTTAGTTTGCCGAATGTCCTCCTATAATTTGTTACGAAAAATGGTCCTGATACCCGAATGATGCATGTGGAAATAAAAATGAAATTAATCGTGTGATAGAGCTATGGTATCTACCTTGCTTCTGCCTCCTGTTTCGTTGCTATACAAATCACCATGTTGCGGGCACAGTTCTGTCGATGACTGATTCTGGCTATAATCAGTACTATAACTTCTGTTGGCCATTGCAATAATAGCGACGCTCATGTTAACTCTAGATCCATAGGAGCTTGCAAAACCAAGGCATGCCATTACAGCCACGAAGTATCTTGTTGACCATTTCAATTTGCTGCCCGGATCTGAAAAATGAAGTAAGGCCTTTTACCATTTTCTTTTTTTTAATTTTTTTTTTTTTATAGAAAACGAATATAATTTGTACCCGACATCCTAAATGCTTTTTATCAGGTGGTCAGCCTTCCCCCATCTCACTCTTGTGCACCATCCCACTACTCCTGACCATGCTGAATAAAGCAACAACAAATAAAATGCCCTCCTTTTGTCAAGGAGAGAGTGAGCGGGGGACACAAAATTGTTTTACCTATCGTTTTTTGGCAGAGTGATCTTAGAAGAGTAAAATGTATGTCGGCATAATGGCGCCGAGATCAGGGAGGACGGAAGACTTTGAATGGATGTCATGAAAGTTATTCTAAATCTGTGCTGATACATTCCTCTGATATTACAGACAAGACAATTATGGTACAGCTGTCTCTCCCGACCCATGCATATAGTAGACCTATATAATTATGTCTGTGTAATGACTGCTGTTGTTATGTTAAAACATGGTTAACTGTGATTGTCAATGCATTGTGTTTCACTTTTTACAAGCTTTGCTTTTTACTCTCTAAAAAAAATCGAGTGATCACGGACGTCACTCCTCTGGAGAGTGAAAATGTAGTGAAAATAGAGTGAACATTCCCTCTTTTCTTCTTTGAGAGCACTCTAAAATCAATCGATTTTCACTCCTAAACAAGTGATCACGGACGTCACTCCCAAGAAAGTGAAAATAGAGTGAAAATTCACTCTTTTTTTTAAAGAGAGTAGTGGATCACTCTTATCCATTATACGGTTTACATTATGTTTCTTGTCATTAATCATACAAAGCATGCATTTCCATATCATTTTATACTACGTTTTCATTAGTTTGCATTATTAGTACATTATCATTATATTGTACTGTATTATCCTTTGTATGTATTCTTCGTATTTTTATTTTGATGGAAATAAAAGTGAAACTGCAGATGATTCACCACGTGACTTTTAATATATTTCACAGATATAAAATGGCCTATACTGTCCTCCGTTTCTAATAAAGCAAATATTTATGTAGTTTTCTTTGTATAAGGTATCATTGAGAAATTCGACTTTTCTGATGAATAAAATGCATGACATGGTTGAATTATTGATATTTCTGAATGATCAAAACGATATCCTAAGGAGAATATATTAAAAGCAATAGAGAAGCATAATAATCATTTTCTATATTATGGTCAATGAAAAAAAAAAGGGTTTTATACGAACAAAAACTACAGTTGACAATGAAAATATTAAATATCAAGGTAGCATGACCTTTACCTTTCTTAGAAAACAGAAGAGGTTGTTTTTCACTATCTTCATTGTTGGTCCTCGATGAAATCCTTTCCAAAGACCGATCTAGGCCTTTACTGTATGACGTATATCCTTCTTCCATGGTTCATATATTATTCTGAATATTATATTCTTCACCCACAAAAATAGATCAACCACAAAAATATATCAACCGAGTTTCACAATATTAGGTGCACCCGAAGCACTGCACTTTCAGTATTCTGGCCGATGCAATACGTCAATAGTGAATATATTGGAGTATCTCTTTCTCTCGTTGTTCATGGAGACTTTGAATCGTTAAATATTGCCTTTTTTAATAAATATTTACAATTCCTTATCTTTCTACCTGTTATATATCCCAAGATAAAGGTAACATCGACACGCACGTCAATAGGCCAACCTATACCAGTTCAGGTCTATACCAGTTCTTTTTAATAAATATTTACAATTCTTTATCTTTCTATCTGTTGCAGTATATCCCAAGATAAAGGTAATAACGACACGCACATCAACTGACTTATACCAGTTTTGACCGGTAATCCGATGTTCCTATAAAATTTGTCAAGTTACAGCAAAGCTTGAGGGACTTTGACAAGTGTAAATACAGTATGACTGCATACTATAATATATTACCACAATGTGTAATGCGATCCAGTGGCGTAATGAGCGAAAACGTTTGGGGGAGCTGACAAAAAAAATCCGCAGCACCCCACTCTAACATGCAGGCCCCGCTGAACGTTTCGCAAAGTGGGGTCTAGGGGCAAAGCCCCGGCAGGGGTCAAGGGGTGGAGCCCCCGAAGCTCAAGGTTTATAGGCATCAGTGGCGGATCCAGGAATTTCTTACCGGGGGAAGGGGCACAAAATGGCATGGGGTTAAATATATGTAAAACGATGAAGCGACAGAACGAGGCTTTAGCGGCGAGGGAGCGGAGCGACCAAGCGTCGGTGGGTCTGGGAGGGGGTTCTGGCCCCCTCCCAGAATAAGAAGCATTTGCAATTTTAGAACCAAATTAGTCGCATTTTCAGGCACTTCCTGGAGTAATATGATGTAAAAATAATTGCTTTCACCTACCCCTTCCAAGAGTAGGGATCTTTTGCAATTTGAGAACCAAATTTGGCGCATTAATGTCCACCGGCACTTCCTGGAAAAAAACGAGGCCTTCTGATTGGTTAAAAGTTAGAGAAAAGTGATCTGTCACTTCTTGAGACGTATATGCTTTGATGCTGCACAATGCACAAAGACGGTGGTCCGGTACTTCACCAGTAGTACTTGCAAAATGTTTCTCGAGTGTATAAACGGTGTCGTTATTAGGGGCGTCGCTAGATCTTTGTCAGTGGGGGAGTGGGGAGGGTGTAGAGGCCACCGATTACCGACAAAACGAGCAACCAATTACCGACAAATATATTAATGCCAATGTCCAAATGTCTACAAATTTAACCCTATAATCCAGGGGCCAAGAACTAAGTTATTTTTAAGTCTCCCCCTCCCGCGCGAAGCGCGGAAACTTTGACACTTAATTAAATTATTAGAGAAAGAAAACGATCAGTTGTACCATTCTCGACTCTCAATTCTTGTTTGGATCCAGTTCTCCCCCCCCCCCCCTCCCGCGCGAAGCGCGGCAGTTTTGACGTTTTAATAAATTATTACTCTTAATCCTTGTCTGAATTCATTTTCGCCCATCCCGCGCGAAGCGAGGCAGCTTTGACGATTCATTAAATTCACCTAATCCTTGTCTGAATTCATTTTCGCCCATCTTGCGCGAAGCGCAGAAGCTTTGACGTTTCAATAAATCATCACTCTTAATCCTTGTCTGAATTCATTCCCGTGCGAAGCGAGGAAGCTTCGACGATTCATTAAATTATTACTCTTGATCCTTTGACTGAATTTATTTTCGTCCATCTCGCGCGAAGCGTGGAAACTTTGACGTTTCAATAAATCATTACTCTTAATCCTTGTCTAAATTCATTTTCGTCCATCCCGCGCAAAGCGCGGAGGCTTTCACGTTTCATTACATTATTAGAGTAAGAATACGATTCGTTGTATCGTGTTCTTGTTTGAATTCAGTTTCCCCCCTCCCGCGCGAAGCGCGGAAGCTTTGACACTTCATTCAATTATTAGAGAAAGAAGACGATTCATTGTACCGGTTCCGTCTCTTAATCCTTGTCTGAATTCATGTTCGCCCATCTCGCGTAAAGCGCGGAAACTCTGACGTTTCATTAAACTATTACTCTTAATCCTTGTCTGATTTAATTTTCGCCAATCTCGCGCGAAGCGCGGAAGCTTTAACGTTTCAATAAATTATTACTCCTAATCGTTGTCTGAATTCATTTTCGCCCATTCCACGCAAAGCGCGGAAGCTTTCAAGTTTCATTAAAATATAAGAGAAGGAAGAAGATTCGTTGTACTGTTCTCGCCTCTTAATCCTTGTCCGAATTCAGTTGCCCCCCCCCCCTCCCGAAGCGCGGAAGCTTTGCCGTTTCATTAAATTATTAGAGAAAGAAGACGATTCGTTGTACCTTTCACTTCTCTTAATCTTGTCTGAATTCAATTTCCCCACTGGGCCCATTAACGGTACATGTACAGTGTTACATGTTGTAAGTATTGAACGCCCGGCAGTGCTTGTCACAGTGCTTCTTGAAAGGATTTTTTTTTTTTTACTAGTGTTACTGTTAGTGGCAACGGCCCTTAGTGACTTAAAAAAAAAAAAAAAAAAAAGCTCCTCCTGGCCATTTGGGAATGTGTCAGTTTGCAACATAAATGGAGAAACGCGAATTTTGTTGAAAATCATGTGATATCACAAACATTTATACACCATTTGTATATTGAATTGAAAATAAGTCATGGTTCAATTTTATTTGGGGGGGCTGGCGCCCCCCCCCCCAAGCTCCCCCACCAGTACGCCAGTGATGCGATCAGTACTAGTATTCAAAAGCTAGGGCACTAGTATCAAGGGCATATGGGGTTGGGTCGGGGGCGTGCGGCCGGTGTGTGTGTGTGTGTGGGGGGGGGGGGGGTGAGGGCACCATTGATAATTTGATCAAAATCATTATAAGTCCATATCGACCGGGGAGTCCAAAAAGTACTTCTTCATTTCTCCAAAGCGGGCTGCGAATTTTTTTTCCGTACTCGAGAGGGCAAATACCCCATGTGCGCATGCGCGTGGACTTGTGATTTCTCTGCTACTTCCCATACGAAATGTACATGTATTCGCATCTACTGTGCACGATTCGCGTTCTACGAGTAAACGATGGCATAGTAGTCTTCAAACACAGACTCTGATTTGCCAGTTTGACAAAACAATTACGCATATTGTATGATTCAGACATTTTAGTGCTTACAGAAATGCATCCCAAATTGAATAGCATGGTATAGTAGTCTGCAAGCACAGACGCTAATCGGACAGTTTGACAACATAGTGTCTTGAGTAGTGCTTTATATTCAAATATGTGTAGTTTTATGATTCAGACCCTACTGGTGCGTGTATTGGAAAGGCATCTCAACTTGCAGAGTGGCATAGTAGTCTGCAAGCACAGACGCTAATCTGACAGTTTGACAAAATAGTGTTATTCAAGTCTGAGTAGTTTTATGATTCAGACCCTACTGGTGCGTGTATTGGAAATGCACCTCAACTTATAGAGTGGCATAGTAGTATGCAAGCACAGACTCTCCTTTGACAGTTTGACAGAATAATATAGGCCTATTGTGTATTGAGTAGTGCTTTTATTCAAGTTTTCGTAGTTTTCTGTGTTGTGCCACTGCTCACTCTCTCTCTCTCTCTCTCTCTTTCTCTCTCTCTAGCTCTCCCTCCAGTATGCTCGCACTCTCTGTATTACTTTTATTTATAATCATGGTCTGCTGAGAGCCAGAAGGATGTTAACTCTTAACACAACGAATGCCCTTCTGGCTCTGAACAAACGATAGTAGGCCTATATATGATAAACCCAGATTAGCGTCTGTGCTTGCAGACTACTATACCATTCTATACAAGTTGCAATGTATTTCCATATGCACTACTGGGTCTGAATCATACAACTACACAGACTTGAATAAGCACATCGCGACACATACGCATATTGATTTGTCAAACTGGCAAATCAGAGTCTGTGTTTGAAGACTACTATGCCATCGTTTACTCGTAGAACGCGAATCGTGCACAGTACATGCGAATACATGTACATTTCGTATGGGAAGTAGCAGAGAAATCATAAGTCCACGCGCATGCGCACATGGGATTTTTGCTCTCTCGAGTACGGAAAAAAAATTCGCAAGCGGGCTGGGGTCGCGAGACGAGGCGAAATGACAAAAACATGTGTATGCAGTCGTAGTACGTGGTAGTGACCTTATTTTTTCATTTATAAAATTAAACTTGTTGTAGAGCTTGATACAATTGATAACCATATTTATTCAAGGTTTTTTTTCTTTCTCTCGTTTTTCTTTTTAAACCAGACTTTTGATCTCTTTTCTCTTTCGAAAGCAATTTATTTTGTATATTTTAACATATTTTTTCCTGAAACTTAGGCTAATCGGGATCATGTGGGCGTGCGCGTGTAAACAATCAATCAACTTTAACTAAACACAATCCGGCCCGAACATACATGAACTAGATTTAGACTCTGTTTCTACAAACGTGTTGTCTATCTACGTGGAATGTCTTTGTTGCCTTGGTAAGATTCGTCATTGCTGTAGAATAAACAATATTTGAGGACAAATGTGATTAAAGCTAGAGCTAGATAGCGCTAGCAGCTGCACAAGTGACTGGGCTGCATCTTAGTGAATTTTGCCCCGGCCCGCTAGGCGCTGGCGCTGGTGTGATGATGGTGGCGATAGTGCACTGCTCGTGGAATGACGGTTGTTGCTTGAGTATATTGAGCATTAAGAATTACATATTTCATGGTTGACACCCCCCCCCCCCCTCGTCCATGAACGTGTCTGTACTTCATATCAGAGTCATTCCACAATAAATAAATCGGCCTTCAGAGAATATAACAATAGTACTCTTATTAGTTAGGCTATATAGATTCTAGACTAGTCTAGTTTACTACTGCGTTTCTATAAGCACTTAACATTTTAATTATCATTACCCTGGTCAGTGAATTTAATTGCTAATTCACACATGATAGTGCAGTACATGCCCCACTCGATGGGAAGTATTCACATATTGAAACATTAACTTTGCCACAGATTAATGTCTTCACTTTACTTTACTTGACCTTGTGAAACTTGTTTATCTTACCTCTTTTTACCCTCATTTTTTATTTTACTTTTACAGGATTGCATTTATATAAGATTAATTGTCCTCTCATCACTTTAACTTTATTTCAAGCAGGGTATTGCGAATTGTAGACAAGTTTCTGTTTTAAGCAAAGCTTTACTATTTTAAAACTTGTTTCCCCCCCACAGCTCAGGATTATTGAGCAATGCTGAAGTTGATAAGATCAGTATGTTTACATAACTCCTCTACATCATTCCATGCTGCTGTCCTTGTTCAACCTGTTGGATCACCCAGAATGTCTTCCCTTCGTATATCTCACTCATCTGGAGCTAATGAAGACTGTCATCATCAACATTTAAGGCAGTGCGCACAACAAATATTTGATGCTGGAGTTGAAGCCGTTCTCCCAAATCAGATGGTCAAAGGTCAGAAAGTAATATGGATTCCTATTAAACTTATGATGCAAAAATCCTTCATTGCTATGTTAAGTTCAGAACATTCATGGAACAAAACAAAAAACAAATATACCATTACATAGTTTTGATATGATTAGAAAAAATAGAAAAATATTTTTCAAAACTTATATCGGGTTGGATATGAAGTAAACTGACAGTTGAGAGGAGAATTTCCAATGTTGGCCCGCATCCTTTTACATCCAAATACTTCTGACAAATTACGATCCTGCATGACGTGAGATGTTGTTGGAAAATAAATGACCTTTATATCATCAGTAAAAAGAATTATGGAGATAGTCTTAGTTCTATAGTCCTATAGTCACCCTTCAGTTCCTTGAAGCAACCAAATTTCTAAAGTCAGTTGTTCAATACTAAATAAAAGTTTTCTTGATTTCATAAACTCTAATGCCTGTTTTATCGTTTCAGATGCTCTACATTTGGACGGCAGGATACTGCATGTCAATGGGCAACAATACATGGTTAATAAGAACGTTCACATTGCTGCCTTTGGGAAGGCAGTGGCTGGAATGGTGCGAGCAGCGGAGGATGTCCTCGGAGACAATGTGAACGATGGCATTGCGAGTGTACCGTTTGGGATTCAAAAGACTCTGGGAGACCTGAAGAAAGCGTATGTATTTCTACAGAGTTCTGAATGAAATGTACCAGTTGGATCTTAATTGGAAATGAATTCTACTTTTGCTTACATTCATTTATATTCTTGAGATGAGTTAAGTAGATTGGTCAAGGAGCAACCCAATCCCATACCTTTTATCTTGGTTTGGAGTCTCGTATGTGGACAAAATAGTAGACAAAATTATTTAAATCCTATATTTTATACACCATTGATATTTTCATGAAAGCAGAATAATTCTGTGATATTCTTAAAACAGCCTTTTCTTCATCAAAAGATACATTAATGAGCAATCATCAAACCTACCTGCTTTCAAATTTAATAAGTTGAGCATACCTGTAGGTAAAGAAAAAGCACTTTTAAAATATGAAATCAGAGCCTTCCTAACATCTTTGTCTCTTCTGGACATAAACATGTACTGCTCTTGAAGTGAAAATATGCATCTAGTATATTGATTCATACAATGATGTTCACTTCTTCAATGATTTCAACATTTTTTTTAATCTTAATTTTCCAGAGATCTCCTTCCCACCTCTGGGTCAAAGGTGAAGCTGATTGAAGGAGCAAAGAACAACCTTCCAGATTCAAATTCATTGCAGGCTGCAGCTGAAATATCTTCCCTGGCCAGCAAACTTAGTGAAGAAGACATCTTGTTAGTACTGATTTCAGGTAGGTAGACCTATTATCAGTTGGCCTAAAGACTTTAAATCTCTGCACTAGCCAGCAAACCTACTGATTGTGAAATCATGTTAAACCGTTGCCTATGGGAAAAGGGGGAATAAGAAAATTCAGTATCAACGGGTTAATAATGATTTCAGATAAGTAGGCCTATTAGCAGTTAGTCTAAAGACTTTGATACAAATCTCTGCACTAGCTAGCAAACTTTTTTTTTTCTTGTACAGAGATAAGTATTGGATAAGTTCTGTATTAATGTGTCTTTGTGTAGGTGGAGGATCTGCTCTGCTCCCTTCACCCATCCCACCCGTCACTCTGGTTGAGAAACTACACGTCATCAAACTCCTAGCCAGCAGAGGGGCTACTATTGAACAGCTCAATACAGTCAGAAAGAATCTATCAACACTCAAGGGTGGAAGGCTAGCTGCCATGGCAAGACCTGCAAAGGTTAGTAATTAAAATAAAGGGAAGGAGTGAAAATATCAGAAGTTCATATTTATGCCTGCATTGGGGCACTCAACCCAGATCAAGTGCTTCATACAAACAGGGTGGTCCAATAAAATAAAACGGACGGGCATACTTCCAATAATGTGGGGTCAGATTCACTGGTACCAGCGGAAGGAGAATCTTTTCACATGAAAAATGATACCAAGATTGACAAATTTGTTATAGGGTTTTGTTTTAGAGAGTATTTTGTGATGTAATGTTGGATTTCAAATTTATCAAGTATCGATAGAACTGCGTTTTAGACAATATTCATGTAATTTCAACTCTGTATTTAACAAGTCATTTAAACAACTGAAAATAGAAAATATTATTTGTCTGTGGTAGGATTGTGTAGCAGGCAAATGCTGTTTGAGTGCATACTTATGTTGGGTCCCAGGCTAATTTACAGTATGGTCTCATTTAGCACTTTTGAGGAATGAGTTCAGAAATACATGTATGTACTCAAAATCGTTTCATTTTATTTTGTGCGAGGCTTGAAAATAACAAGATTAATTCAGTTTAAAAAGATATTTTTTCTATATGAAAGGCGGGACAGTAAATACTCATTATCATGAATCACTTATAGATTTGATCAATTTTATCAATTTACCAACAATATGTCTTGAACTTTTTGTAGGGTTAAACGTTGTTATATTGTAACTTGGTAAGATAATATCAATCATATGGTATTCATTTGTAATTTGTACACAGAATGGGAATATAAGCAATACAGACTGAAGGAGGACAATAATGACATATGTACAGGTTCTCAAACCTGTAGAAGGAGTCAATGTAATTTGACCAAAAAAAAAGAATTAACAATTTTTTTAAAAATTAATTCAACAGGTTATCAGCCTCATTCTATCAGACATCATAGGAGATCCTTTAGATCTGATCGCAAGCGGACCCACTGTGCCAGACTGCTCCAGGACAAAAGAATGTCTGAAGATCCTCCAAGAGTTTGCCATCTCTAGAGATGACATACCTTCTGCAGTTTTGGAAGTCCTTGATAAGCCAGTCGACTGTTCAAGGGTTGAACCATCAAGTGCCTTTTCACATGTTAATAATGTTATAATTGGTAGTAACTCAATTGCTGTAGCTGCAGCCCAGGAGCGGGCAAACAACGTGGGTTTCGAGACGATGAACATATCAAATGCAATTGATGGGGAAGCAAAGCAAGTGGCTGCCATGTTTGTAGATTTGGCAAAGTGTGTATGTGAGAGATATATATCAGGACCATCCACTGTAGGAGAACGGTTGGCTGAAAGCTGCTTCAAGGTTAACAAAGATAAGATTCAAGAACTGGAGGATGTGTTGCAGAAGGCTGTCCAAGGGAACAAGCCAGTTTGTATCATCGGTGCAGGAGAAACCACTGTAACCATCAGAGGGAAGGGAAAGGGAGGCAGGAATCAGGAGCTTGCTCTGGCCGCAGGCATCGCAATGAATGAATCCTCAGCGCTGCAGACATATCACCAAGATGGGTTTCTTGTTACACTCTTCTCGGCTGGAACAGATGGACAGGATGGACCTACAGATGCGGCTGGAGCCGTTGCTGACCTTGGTCAGGTCACTAGGGCTTGTGAGTCGGGGTTAGATCCTGCAGCATTCCTGGACAATAATGATTCCTATACATTCTACCGAGCATTAGACCAAGGAAAGGACTTATTGGTGACTGGACTGACTGGGACAAATGTAATGGACATTCAAATTCTCCTTGTGTGTCCACCCAACAGGTCTCCATGATATCAATGGATTGTCCTTGTTTAATGGCCATGTATGTTCATGACAAGTGCCAATTGTGTGGTTTTGTGAAATTAAACTGAAATATGACTGAAGATTCCTCTCTCCATCCACATGAGGAATCTATAATCGAACTCTAGAGTAATTTCCCAAAGTTCAAAATACATGTTTGTAGAGAGAAATTGTCAAAAAGCAACTTTTAATGAAATATTCCAAACACTTTCCAAAATATAATTTTCTCACTCTACATTCAACGATTGAAACAATTAGTAAGGAGCAATCCATCCCTTGTAATAAGTTGATTTGTATGAAAGCAGAAAAATAACCGAAACAAAATGGTAAAAGTTTGAAATGAATCGAAACCAATAATAAGGAAGTTATGAATGTTTGAAATATTAGATCACATCTAGAGTTGTGGCAGGTGATCGGCCTGTGCTACGAATCGACGTCGAGCGTCAGGCTGGCTAGGGGTTTGTCTCAAGTCAACATCATGAAGGAGGAAGGAAGAAGGGGTCTCTTATCATACTGTTGTGGACTAAAGGAATTCCTGAGGGATGTGGCTGTGTCCTACTTCACGAATAACCCCGAGCAGACCGGTGGCCCTGGAGTTATCGTCGAAATCGACGAATCGTTGTTTTGCCTCCGGAAGAACCATGTGGGGCATCGAAGAGAAGACATCTGGGGCCCGTTCCTAGAAACCGTCATAAGTCTAACTTCTTGACTATCACATTGAAACGTGTGTTATAGAATTAACACGTGTTTCAATGGGATAGTCAAAAAGTTAGACTTATGATGGTTTCTAGGAACGGGCCCCTGGGTCCGACCTTGGTGAATATGAACACGATCGGTAGAGAGTTTTCTTGGTTCGAGTGGACAGGAGGGACGCAGCCACACTTCTACCCATTATAGAGCAGTGGGTGGCGCCCCTGGCCCCCCACTCCGGGAATGGAGGGACCGCATTCATGTTCCCAAAGTCTCTGGCTCGTAAGAAACAAAAAGAACTGCCCGTATTGACTTTACAGGAGGGCCGACTAACCGGGGCATGATCGCAGACTACTTGGCAGAATTCATGTGGGCCCAGCAGATCGTGGATGGATCTGCCTTCTACCATATAGGGAGCTCTACCCAGTGTAGAGGAACAAACCCACAGCTCTTTTCAGAGCCAACCACACACACAAGAAAGATCTCAAAGATTACTCTCAAATGAAAGAAAACAATTTATATATGACGAAGATGATAATGATGCTGATAATGATAATAATATCATTATAACATTTTTTTTTCTTCTTCTCCTCCTGCTCCTTCTTCTTCTTCTTCTTCTTCTTCATTATTATCATCATCATCTTCTTCTTCAGCATCATCAATTTACCATACTATCATCATCCTCATTTTCGTCATTGTCATTATCCAGATATCATTTTCTGGTGATTTTAACTATCATAATTCATATTTTTGTTGATTTTCTCCTCCTGCTCCCCTCCACCTCAAGCCCCTCGCCCTCCCCCCCCCCAACTTGTCCTCATTGTTGAAGTTGGACTCCCCCGGCTTTTTTTTAGAAGAATAACAAGGAAGAAAGAAAGTCAGAAAAAGAATTGACGAAATCAAGAAAGAAACAAATTTCATACTCTTTGTTTTTCTTTATACAATTCATTTCCTCTATATATTGTATTTATTGGTACCACCACCCCACACATAGATTTGCTTGTCATATTTATATGTTTTTGTATGTGTTTATTGTTTAATTTAAAAAAGTCATTGTATTCTAATATTGTAATTTTAAGCAGGGGATGATCCCCGATAAACCTCTGTAGTTTTTGATCACCCCCTCTGCAGGTTTATCTTTTGTTTTAATGCTTTTTATATTAGATTGTAATTTATATTGCCTTTATGAATCTGTGGAAATAAGTGAAATTAAAAACTTTCTTATAATTAGTCAGATATACTTGAAACTTTCTGCTTCTTTTAAAGTAGTTGTTTATTTAAGTTGGATTTCCCTTTAACCAAGGAGTTTGTTATATTGCCCCCCCCCCCTTACCTAACAATATTAATTCTACAGTAGAATGGACACACATATTTATCATTTGCTGCTTCACTGATTTAATGATAATATTCATTAATATAAGAACATAGATGTATAAATATAACAAGAACGAAATATTTCAGAGTAATCAAACAAATCAAGAAATTCATTTATTGAAAATCATGCGCACCTTGTATATTTATCTTTCAAGGTCTTTAATGTGTCAACAGATATCAATTATTCTTATGAGAAGTACAACATCTTGTCACAAACCTTAGGAATGTGGAGTAGTAGATGTAGATTAAAATGCTTCCCTTTCGATTGGTGAAGTCTTTATTTCTTATAAAATCTTGATATGAGATCACCTCGACAACGACATTGTCTTTGGATTAATCATAGGGCAAGTCCAAGAGCTCCATTATGTCCCATACCTTACCCACCACATCTAAGATTTCAGTAAACCTAATGACTGTATCAAGCTGATAACCATTCTATACCTTTAAAAAAGACTTGATATAATGACATTTTAAAACAAATCTAATGAAAAAAATATGCTACACTAATCTTTGTTCTATACAGCATGACTACTAGGATGTAAATAAAACGTGAAACATGTATATAGTTATGTTCATGGTTAAGATCAGTTGGAAAAAAATATTTCAAATTGAATTAGGTCAAACAGCAGATGAATTATATTTCCATTCCAGACACAATTACGGTACATATTAAAATTAAGCAATACAACCAGAAGATGTACCTTGGACTTGCCCCCTCCCCTCCCCTCCCCTCCGAATTAAAAAAAAGTTAAATATACCTACCTAGTGAATCTCCCTGAGAAAATGATCAAATGTTGAAAAATAATGAATTTCCCAACACATATTACCTACAAAATAGTGCTTCAGACTATACCCAATGGCTGAATTCACAAAGGAGGTTTAACTCACTATGAAAATGACTGACAATGAGAGCGGACAAAATATACAGTTCCTCAGGTAGACAAAGGAACATCCCTTCACTGCTATTATGTAAAAATGTGTAGAACAGGTGTCACATGCATATTCACCTTTTTACATAATAGCTGTGAAGGGATGTTCCTTTGTCTACCTGAGGAACTGTATATTTTGTCCGCTCTCATTGTCAGTCATGTTCATAGTGACTTAACCCATGGTTAAAACCTTCATTCACAAAGGAGGTTTAACTTAACCCATGGTTAAAACCTTCATTCACATAACCCATGGTTTGAAAATCAGCACAAAATAAGCGTTATGTAAATGAAGATTTAAACCATGGGTTGAATTTAAACCTCCTTTGTGATTTCAGGCCAATGAGTACCGATATGCTTTCTTCACAGCTTAAAAAGGCTCAATATAATGACACTTTATTTAAAACAATCTAATTCTGAACAAAATATGCTACACTAATCTGTGTTCTGTACAGCATGAATACTATATTGTGAATAAAAACAGAACTGCTCCCATAAAAAACAAAACATGATATATAGTTATGTTCATGGTCAAGATCAGTTGGAAAAAATATTTCAAAATTGCTCTCTATTGCATCCTTATCTTTACCATGAAACTTAAGAATAATAGTGAAATGACCGTTGAGGAAATTTACTGCATGTCGTTTATTTTATCTATCAAGATTTATGGCAGTTTCTTGTCAGACCCTACACGGACAAGCTATTCAACTACTTTATATGAATGGAATCCACCTTGCATATATTAGTTGTTATGATGGGCAAGCCCCTAGAAAACTTTTAGGTAATCAAGAGCAAATTTGCATGTTCAAGAAACATGTATTTACACAAGAATGTAATATACCGGTACTGGAAAAGTGGTCCATTTAGGCACACACAGAGCATTGTCACTTCTCACAAGTTGACTCTCAAATAGTACAAATGATATGAATATGCCATACCTGTATGTCCTTGCATCAAAATTTCAGTATGAAAACACTATTGTGATTCTTGACAGCAATACAATTGTGGCAAGATATTTCAGTTATTGCACTTTGACACCCTACTGTGACAAGACTTAGTTAAAGTTACTGAACCTCTGCGGTTGTGACAGTCATTTCCAGAATTAAATTGAAAGTAATTTCAGGATGTGTAAAGAAATGTAAAGCTGTATTTAACTTCAATTTTTATGCTATTTTTGATGATAATAATCAACGATTTCATTTCAACTTTATCATTAGCAGTCCAATCAGATCACACACAAAATATTTTCGAATTATTTGATTAACGTATCTACAGAGACCCAAATAGAAAATAACTTGTTTCTTAAATAATCCTGCCAGAATTTTCCCCTGAATGTATACAATAAGCAAGCAATTAGAAAAACTAAAGGTAAATCTTTTCCAAATACCATATCCACACCCAGTTAATATTCCTTTAATCATAAGACCACCATTTTGACCATAGCCTATACATTTTTGTTTTTGTTTTATGATTAACATATATGATCACGGTAGCCTCCAACATGGTTTAATTAAACTTAAGCCTGCCAAGTTTATCTTCCTACGAGTGATGCATACTTGTACCAAGTCAGAAATTTACCCAGCACAGGATGGACAACTCTAAGGCATCTAAACTCTCAATCAAGAAGGTTACAAAAGACAATATGACAAAATACCGAAGTAGAGGTGTAATATCCTTGCAATACAGCCCAAAATAATTTTGAACACTTCACAGGTGCATAAGACTATTACACTGGATTTTCTTGGATTTTCTTGGTTCACCATCTACATTTGTTTTCATATTTTTCTTTGACATGGATGTTTTCTCCATTGATCATGTCCATACTTGATAAGAAATAGTTAAGCAAGTTTTGATTTATTTTCTTGAAATATTCCAGTGTGCATGATTTCAGCTCACCAATGAAGACCTAACCCTTATCATACCTATAAATAAGTTTTGACTCTCTCATCTCCTTACTCTGCAAAGCTTTCCGATTGAAATAAAAACATGTTGTCAGTGGTCAATGCTCTTGCTCGCATCGGCCAATGGAAGATCCAGCTCACTACTTAAGAAATCTCATCACAAGGTTGCATGGATCATTCTGGTCCACTCCTAGAACAATTTTTGACTAGGCACTTGCAAGAAAACTCATCCAAATTTCCCCCAATAAGTCTGTCTTGTGTCCTTCCAGAGCTCCACTTGTATTTCTTATTTTCCAGTGATCAAAACTCACCATCCTGGAGATAACTTTGATTTCTCAATCAGTCTATGAAGCATGGGGTGTTCTGAAGATATTTCCATTTCCCAATCAGTCTTTGAATGATAAGGGGTTGAGGAGTTATTTTGTCTTTATCTCAATCCATCTTTGGACAGTGGGGGTTTGAGACTTGAGAAGATATTTTGATTTCTCAATCAGTCTTTGGATGGTGAGGTGCAGAGACGGATGATTCAAGGGGTCTTCCGGGCTGCTCCTGCCATTTTTCACTCTTACTTTCTGGAGGTTCTGTCACTAAATATGCATCTTCTGCTGAACTATAAAATGAGAAAGGTACAAAAATACATGAAAATACATTAAATAAATCACATCACAAATCATATATCACCATCACCATTTAAAGCCCAAGTCCACTCCAAAAATAACTTAATTTCAATAGAAGCAGAAAAAATCAGACTAACCAATCAAAAAAAGTCTGAGCAAAATCAGATAATTAATAAGAAAGTTATGAATTTTTAATGACATTAAAAACTTTGAAAATCACTAGACAAATTGGCAACTCACTCATGAGTCTGTGACGTATGGTCCTCACTATCCACTAATTATTTTCTTTATATTGATAATATAAATGTCCTATTTTCACCCTAAGAATCTTATTTCTTCATATCAGCATCCAAGTTAGATTGTTAGTAATATGTTTTTGTGTGGATGCACAAATTTTTGTCCAGTTAAATCATAAAAAATTGGATTTTTATAAACTGTTTATATTAAAATCAATAATTATGAATATGCAATATTCTGAAAATAGTATCAATTTTTCAAAATTCATAAAAGCTTTTGGGAAATGTCATGCACGCAATATGATACAAATCATATAACCTGGGCAAAGGTTTGGGGAAATCTAGTTTTGGGGGATAAAAAGGGAAATTAATGGGATTAAACTATATAAAGCAATTGATAAGTTGTGAGGACATGACGTCACAAACTGATAACCATCTTGGCAATTTGTGTTGTAATTCTCATTGTTCCATAGTTTTACATACTTTTTCAAAAATTAATAACTTTCTTATTAGTTATCCGATTTTGCTCAAACTTTTTTTGATTGGTTTGTCTGATTTTTCTGCTTTTATTGCAAGTAAGTTTGTTTTTTTAGTGGACTTGTCCTTTAAGCCTTATCACCTTGTTTTTTGTTTATTTAACAAATCTTTCCAATGCTAATTACGAAAACAGTATATAATAATCATTGCATTGATTTTGATTATCAAACAGTTTTGATAACTCTATGTCAAATATGTCATGAGTATTTATGTACAATTTCAATCTTTTAAACTTACTTATTTTTTGTTTTTAATGACTGAAAGTCCTAAAAGCTTACAACAAACATCTTATTTCTCAGCCCCATGACCAAAGTGACTCTAAATTGACTGTACTTTCTCCGCCATTTTTTGTTCAGTCTGTTGGTAGTTTGGCATCAGTCTTCGTGTGATAGGTGTTTCTCTAACCACACCGTGCTTATCAAATATTAATCTTGGGATTGAACATTGTGAGAGTACAAGTGGCATGTAGTACGGTACATGTTTACTTACTTCTGTCTGCTGGATTCTCTTGACACCGATCCACTCCTATTCAACTTGTCCTGCCCAGCAAGCACCGTCATGATCTCGCGTCCATACGTCTGCCAGGCCAGGACGATGCACAGCCACAAGATCACCAAACAGCAGATCAACCAACAGCACAACCTGACTTCCAGGACCTCAGAAGCACACAGATCCTCAACGGCCATTTTGATTCCTATCAACAGGTCCATGATTGACTTTGAATCAGAGTCTACAGGAAGGGTACTCTCCTGACTTGCTGCATGAATGGGTGACGAAACAGGAAGTGGACTGCCTTCACCAATGGTATCAGTATCTGTATCCATAGCAACCCATTCTTGAAATGACCTTTTTAAAATGGCAAATCTGTTCAAACGCAATTTGCAAGAAAGCATTGAGCTTTTACTGTTACAATGTACATGTACAAGCAAGGTATCACAAGTTTTGCATAGATTCTAAAGAATTCAATATTAGAATACTGATTTCTCACATGTACATAAAGAACAACATTTTGTGAAAATAACATGTCATAAAATATTACAAGGCACAATTCTAGTTCAACAAAACAGGCAAACTAATATTAAAGAGAAACTCCAGTACTGGTAAAAAAAAGAAAATGAATTCTCACAGAATCAAACGAAACTTACACCGAATGTTCAAGATTACAAATAAATGTCATGTGCCAAACAATTTTGGAAGAAAATGTATACTGGCTGAGTAATGAGCATAGAAAGACAAGGAAATCAAGGTAGTACCAGCCCCGACAACATGCGTGTTGTCCCATATATAGCTTTCTGTGTACGGTGCGTGTTACTTTACCAAAACTCGGTCAAATTTATTATGATTTTGATGACTCTAGAACCTTGCAGTGCACACCAATACTTACATTCTACATGATCAACTTTTTCTGATCCTTTCCACACCTTTTCTTTCACAATGCAATCGCATTACCAGTACTAAAGTTTAGCTTTAATAAGTACCAAAATGCATCAGAAATATTAATATCTTTAAAAAATCAAACATAGACTCTAGGTCTACAATACTCTATATGTAATTCATAATTGCAATATCGTAGATCTTTATAATAAGAGTTCAGTTTGTTCTCCTTCATTTTTTTTAATGCACTCGACTCTTGACTTTAGTCTTGGTCACTCACTCTGCATGCTCAGATTCAGAAGAGTCGGAGTCACACTGACTCTCACTCTATCAGTATCACTCACATAACACCAGTTTACAGTTGTGTCAGTGCGCATGCGCAGACAGTTGACCTCGGGTCATTGGCACAAAGCCAATGACCCGAGGTCAGTGGTATTTATGCGTAAATTAAGATTGCGCGCATGCAAATGATGATGTGCGCGCACAACGCAGCACGTGGGCAGTGATGTCATCATAATTTGCATGGGCGCAATCTTAATTTACGCATAAATACAAGACCTCATAGGTCATTGGCTTTGTTTAAAATGGTGCACACAACCGTAAACTGGTGTAGTCTAGATAGATCTAGACTATTCCAAAATATCATAATTTATTCAAATTAACTTGATATCAGGATTCAATTAGCTTGTCGTAAATATTCAAGATTGATTGACGAGTTAAAGCCAAGTCAGGCCTTGACTCTGAATCTAATCCAAAGCCTGGATCTACAGTTCTATACTCTATTCTATGCCAGGATTCACCAAATCTCACTCAATCCAGTCCCACACGTTCAATAATTTGCTGGTCATCGGTCATACAGGTGTGCCTCGCGCCTCTACAATACATAGCTAGTTAGAATATTAGCTTCACAAACATTCCAAAACAGATAATAATGGATAGATATAATAATACGTCAATGTCTTATTATAATATTTACTGAAATTATGTTTACCTCTGGCTTTCTCTCTCCAGAATTACGATGTTATTTTCCACTTCAATGCAGCTCAGTCTCGTTTGCAAAATAAAATAGGGAATAGACTAGTTTTTATCAAGACGTTAACTTTTTAATTCTTTAGTTTTCTTTAATGTATAGGGTGTAATTCAGTCCTCGTTCAGTCTGTTCATCTATAGTTGGGTTTGTTTAAAAAAAATATAAAAAAATCCTGATAGAGTTTCCACTGATGCAAAAGTATGCACTATAACTAAGTTACAGAAACAAACACGAGCGCAATGGACTATTCGCCCTTCAACTGGAGCTCCTTGGGCAGCCCCCCCCCCCCCGGCTAATAAAAAATCTTATACCGATCTTAGTGTGACTGTGACCAAGCGGAGTTAATAAAGATAATAGAGCAATAATTCATCGTAATTTATCATCAATCTTCTTCGTTTTATATATTGTCAAGTGGCAGATTTGGGGAGGGGGCATGCATGCAGGGCCAATGATGGCCCCATGCAAATTAGGTCATAATGCCTACCAATATTCGGGCACCTCGCACTGTCCGAATTACATGAGGTCCTATCTTGCCCAAATATTAGAGTTTTCTTTTTTAATTGGATGTGGGGCCTAGCTGCAACCAATCGCCTACCCTCCCCCTCGCCCGCCTTGTAGGCCATCATCACAATCACATCACCACTGCACTGAATGCCTCGTTAGCCCCGACCCATTTGTTCGATGAAATCCATAGTTTATAATTATATGAGCCATGTGTCATTTCTGGGCCGGGGGGGGGGGGGGGGTTCTACCCGTAGGCAACTTTATACATATTTGAATCTAGTTTCCTCTGTACTAGGCCTATGTGCTTTTGATATTTCCAACTCCCCCCTACGACAACCATAGCTAGGACAACTATTCTCGGGCAGTTGTCCGGGGGTAGTTGTCCTATATATGGGGTAGTTGTCCGGGGGTAGTTGTCCTATATACGGGGTAGTTGTCCGGGTAGTTGTACCGGTGGTAGTTGACTGGGGTGGTTATCTGGGGGTGGATGTCCAGGGGGTAGGTGTCCGAATACGCTTTCACGGATATGTTTCTCCTTCTTGAATATTTCCTTCTCGTTATCATTAGATGCCTCTCTCTTGCCCCCCCCCCCCCACCCTATCTCTCTCTCTCTTCTCTCTCCCTCCCTCTCTTTCTCTCTCTCTCTCTCTCTCTTTCTCTCTCTCTCTCTCTCTCTCTCTCTCTCTCTCTCTCAGTCTCTCTTCTATTCTGTGTCCTATCTCTATTTCGGTCTTAGTCTGTTTCTCTTTCACTTACTCTCTGTGAGACTTACACATTCCAGTTCATATTCATTGTATATCATTACTTTTTAGAAATTAAGAAAAAAGAAAACAGCATTTATTATTATTTGTTATTGATATTGATATTATTTGTTATTGATGTTAAGTTTAGCTTATTATTAGCACTAACAAAACAAAAAAAGTTCGAGATGAAATGATCTAAAACGTTCATGACTATTTTGATGGAAAACTAAAGTTAAAACATACTTGAAGAGAAAAAAGATTCAGGACGGTAAACAAATTAACAAGAGACTCCAAAGCAAGGGATTAGCCAGGATTTTTTGAGGGGAGGTGTTTTTTTGCCCAATTCAACGATGAGAAAATATTTAGCGGCGAATTAGCCAGCCGGTAAATAAGCGGGGGGGGGGGGGGGGAGGGGTAAGGAGCACACGTTTTTGTTTGTGCCCAACTCGTGAGAAAATATTTAGCGGCGGGGGGGAGTAAGCACTAATATATTTTTGGGCTCAACGGGGGGATGGGGGGGGGGGGTGGGGTGTACACTCCTTTTTCTCCCTCAACATTTACCACCCCCTTGATATAACGCAGATAAAGGGTGTCTTTAAAATTCTAAAACACCCCCCCCCCCTTTTTTTGCCAAGGGGGGAGGGGGGAGCCCGGCCTACCTACTCACAGTTTTTTAGGGTACGCGTATGCATGTTCCATCCCTTTGAAAGCACCCCCCCCCCCCCCAAGTCCGGTGTGTAAAGTCAATACAGGCCGATTTTTTTTGTGTGTAAACAAGTTGGACTTTGTTGTGTGAAAAGTACCCCTTTACCGGAGATTTTGGGAACATGAATGCGGTCCCTCCATCCCCCTCCCCTCGATACGCCAATGCTCCTAAGATCTACCCCAGAATCCTCTCACTGGCACCGGAATTGCCTAGGCCAATAATGGCCGAGAACATTGCGCAACGCACCGCGCCGATCTGGATCTGAGATTAAGCTATTAAAAAAGGAAAAGGAAGAAGGGAAAGAAGAAGAAGAAGAAAAAACCTTATGAAGAGTACGAATTTACAAAAAGTAAACGAAAAAGAAAGAATCAAAAAATTGAAAAGCGTGAATATTCTCATAAAGAATGAAACGCCGACAACACACACAAAAATAACAACTTTGCATAGTGGTTTAGCCCTGTCGAACAAAATACAACTATAATTAGACCATCATCATCATAAAAAATACTTTTGAAAGTACAATGTACACAAATATCTGCCCAATAGCTATCTCCAATAAAGAAAACAAAGAGAATCGAAATAAACATTAAGAGGCAAAATGGCATCAACATGCAGAAGAGGCAATAGAAAAAAAGACATTCTGGTCAAACCGGACTGACCACGAACAGGCGCCGGATGCCGCATAATGGTATCATCTCATTTGGTAATTATGACGTGCTCAAAATAATGATGATGGAATTATGAATATTAATTTTTATTACATAAAAAATGTATGAAACAAAACACAATGACTATGAAGTCAAGGATTATTAACATGAAACGCATCACTATAGTATAATTATATAAATACTGAAAATATTCACTAACACATTAAATAATGTGCCGGTAAATCGAACGAGAATACATTGCTCCGATTTTCCGACAGCAACATGATGCCGACAAAATCTTCCACCCCTACATTGGCTGATTGAAGACGGTGAAAATCTTATCATACTAGCGTATGTATACACTTTAATTGCTGATCATGGTGTAATATTGGTGACATTAATAAATTAGGTACACCGATTTGGGTTCTAAAAACACGTTACCGAACGTTCATCTTCCGGCGGATATCGTTAAGTCACACATCATTACTGAACCATCTGTACTTTTCTGCGGTACTGTGCTTTTGTAACAAATTACAATAGGGACTTTTAGATTTGCGTGGACTGATACGTGTGACGTCCATTCAAGGCAGTGCATTAAAAAGACGTCGATCGTAGCAATCCACGTTGTCGTTGTGCAAATCTAAAAGTCCCTAATATCATTACGTGACCTAATACTAATGAAAAGTTCACCATGGGCATATAGGCAATTTGTATAACAAAGTTGTATAACCCATAAAGCAATGTTTACGTCAATACTAGGTTTACTCACCCATAAATTCAATAATGCCATACAATATAGTTAATGATAACAAGAAACAACAAAACAAACAGCCGGAACATAATCACCTTCATGCGACAAAGTATGATAGTACACATGTACTTGTCTTGCAAAAGTTGAGAAATTCTTTCCCGCCGAAACTGCATAATAATTATTCGTCTTTAACCTCCCCTCACCTCCCCCATGATAAATAAAATAAATACAGACATATTCCTGATTTATCTTATGCATAGATTATGGCAGGTATAAATATTTTTATGAAACTCCAAGGATATGTATATTTCAAAGATATGCAATTGCAATTTCGACGAAATAACGTTTTCTTGTGCCACTCGTAGTTCTAGTCTTTCATAGAATCTGAAGCTCACGTCATGCCCCTGCTTCCACAAATTGATTTTCACCAAAACTGGTAATGGCAAATAGTTTATAATTATGGCAACTAACTATTTTAGATTCATGTTGCCAAACTTCAGGATCCATTATAAAGTTTTCTATAAATAATTTTACAAAAAATCAAAATACGTCACAGCATCCAAATCGACTGGAACGAAGGAAACATTTACACCATGTATTAGAATAAGCAGCTGGAGGGAAGTCATCATAGTTTATTAATACATTATAATGTTGTCGAGTGACATACAGCAGTGACCTCCCTGCATACAGACACCTGGTAAAATGCTATTGCAAGTCTCTCCTAATATGCGAAAAACTTTTCAGAAAATAGACTCTGTATAGCTTTTCTCTCACAGAAGAAAGGGAGGCGCGATGACTCAGTTGACAAAGTAGAACTATAGGAGGTCTCGATTGCGACACCAAATCGATGCGATAGCGCTCTTGCGTAAGACATCAGTCTTTAATATCCAGGCCCCTTGGATAGGACTTAAAGCAAGCCGTAGGGTCACTAGTTACCGGTGTTATTATTATGCAGTGACCTTTCAGCGGTCAGGTTAGGTAAAAATAAACCTAAACATCATAAATCATCTGTTCTCCAATGTAATCAAATTTTATTAAAGATGAGCAGGTGTTGAATAGACTCTTATTTTCCTCAGATGCACCATGCTAACATGAATACTTATTGTATACTCCAAGTTTCATCAAGCCTTTTGGTTCTTAAATGGTCTTAGATCGAGACATCATGATTATGCTATACTAACAGCAGATGGGCTCCGTATTGGTGGAAAATTAGGAATAGCGGGAACATCGGCTTTACATGTGCAATTTCTCCTTGATGCTGACAAGTTGTAACAAGGTTTTCCTACATCCAGGATGGGGAAGCTTTGTCGGATGAATCTCGAGCAGTCTTGCTTTGGTGGATTCGTTCCGTAAGTGCTCTCTGTAGCTGTATGAATAAAGATAATGAGTGTGGTATAACAAATTCAGATTTGATACAAACATTGGAGACGCCATGAAAGGTGGATATTTACCTCCAGGAAACTACCCCTGCATGCGATGATTATAACCAGACAACTATATCCTCTATGAAAGAGAATATTTCGAACTGCAGTATTTTTTCGTGAAAAGAAGCATATCTGTCCTTTTCACAAAAGAAATCGGGTTATCTGAAATTTTGTTTCAGATTAACTCTACAGAGAAATATCAGCAGCAATCTTTAACTTTCGTGATCCGACCACGACCTTCTCAATCTCGATCACTCCTTCTTTTCGTTTCTTCTTTCTCTTTCTATGTCATTTTATTTTTGTTGTATATACCGAAAACAACCCCACCCCACCCACCCCCCCCAAAAAAAAAAGCTCGTTAAGTGTTTAATTTCAATAAAACTTTAATCCATTATCATCAGCTTTCTATCCTAAAGTTTTCCATAATTCATTTTGACCTAAAGAATATATCGACAGTCTTTTCAGTAAGTCAACCACAATGTGTCACCGAAAGCCTTCAATCGTGAATACCATTACCAAGTTTGTCATCATCATCATGCAGCCTTGTGAGCTTTAATAGACGTTGTACTCTCATTTGCCAGCACTGGCGTACTGGTGGGGGAGCTTGGGGGGCGCCAGCCCCCCCCCCCCCAAATAAAATTGAACCATGACTTATTTTCACAAGTGATGTATAAATGTTCGTGATATCACATGGTTTTCAACAAAATGCTAGTTTCATCATTAATTCTTGCAAACTGACCCATTCCCAAATAGCCAGGAAGAGCATATGTTTTTTTTTATAGTCGCTAAGGGCCTTATAGTGGCCACTAACAGTAACACTAGTAAAAAAAAAAATCCTTTCCAGAAGCTACTGTGCAAAGCACTGTCGGGAGATAACATGCTACGTTTACCCACCACTCGGGCTGAGCATGCACAGATTTGCGAACGAGCGTTCCATATTTACATCATGTAACACTGCACATATAGTGGGGGGAATTGAATTCAGACAAGATTAAGAGTAGAGAACGGTAAAACGAATCGTCTTCTTTCTCTAATAATTTAATGAAGCGGGAAAGCTTCCGCGCTTTGCGCGGGAGAATTGAATTCAAACTAGGATTACTAGTCGAGAACGGTACAACGAATCGTCTTCTTTCTCTAATGATTTGATGAAACGCGAAAATGATTTCAAACAAGGATTAAGAGTAATAATTAAATGAAATGACAAAGCTTTCGCGTGGGAGGGGGAAAACTGAATTCAGACAAGGACACGATAAAATGAATCGTCTTCTTTCTCTATAAATAATGAAACGTGAAAGCTCTCGCGCTTTGCGCGGGAGGGGGGAAACTGAATTCAGACAAGAACACGATACAACGAATCGTCTTCTTTCTCTATAAATTTAATGAAACGTGAAAGCTTCGGCGCTTCGCGCGGGAGGAGGAGGGGGACTGAATTCAGACAAGGATTAAGAGTCGAGACCGGTACAATGGATAGTCTTCTTTCTCTAATAATTTAATGAAACGTGAAAGCTTCTGCGCTTCGCGCGGGCGGGGGGGGGGGGGCGGGAAACTGTATTCAGACAAGGATTAAGAGTCGGGACTGGTACAATGAATCATCTTCTTTCTGTAATTATTAAATAAAACGTCATGGCTTCTGCGCTTTGCGCGGGAGGGGCGAAACGAGGATTAAGAGTCGAGAACGGCACAATGGATCGTCTTCTTTCTCTAATAATTTAATGAAGTGTCAAAGCTTTCGCGCGGGAGGGGGGGGGGACTGAACAAATAAATTAGTTCCTGGCCCCGGGTTTATAGGGTTAAAATTGTAGGCATTTGGACATAGGCATTTTTATATTTTTTGGTAATTGGTGGCACGTTTCGTCGGTAATCGGTGGCCTCTACACCCCCCCCCCCTCCCCCACTTAAAAAAGTACTACGGCGAAGTACCGGACCACCGTCTTTGTGCATTGTGCGGCATCAAAGCATAATTTATACAATGTCTCACGACGTGACGGATCACTTTTCTCTAACTTCTAATGAATCCCCTTCCGCGCGAAGCGCGGAAGCTCTGCCGTTTCATCAAATTATTAGAGAAAGAAGACGATTCGTTGTACCGTTCTCTACTCTTAATCTTGTCTGAATACAAGAAGGCCTCTTTTTTCCAGGAAGTGCCGGTGGACGTTAATGCGCCAAATATGGTTCTCAAATTGCAAAAGATCCCTACTCTTGGAAGGGGTAGGAGAAAGCAATTTTACGTCATATTACTCCAGGAAGTGCCTGAATCTAATTTGGTTCTAAAATTGCAAATGCTTCTTACTCTGGGAGGGGGCCAGAACCCCCTCCCAGACCCACTCCCAGCTTGGTCGCTCCACTCCCTCGCCCCTTGACCCCCGCTGGGCCTTTGCCCCTAGACCCCACTTTGAGAAACGTTCAGCGGGAATTGCATGTTAGAGTGGGGTGATTCGGATTTTTTTTTGTCAGCCCCCCCAAACGTTTTTGCTCATTACGCCACTGTTTGCCAGGATTGTACACGCGGCAAAAAAGTTTTTATAACATATTTTCTCAAGTTCCACAGGATGCAGATCAACCATCGCGGTCCCTTCGTGCAATCATATCGCTTTCAATTTCATATCAATTCTAAATACCATCCTAAGATTAAATTCTTACCATTATAACTTTTACAAGAGACGTCTACGTGATAGCATGTATCATCCTGCTTCTTACATCGCTTGTGTAAAGCTCTGCAAATATTCCTATAGGTTTTTCGGGGCTTTGCTTTGACGTCACAAACTTGCTGCCCGATAGTTCCAAGCGGGCATTTGCCGCGGAGAATTTCATAACAAGTCAGCTGCGTTGCATTTTTATCTGAAAAAAGAAGAAAGAAAAAAAAAAAAAAAACGTGCATGAATTCTATAAATATATTTCAAACAAGTATTATGTCATTTCTTAAACCATGTACTACACGTTATAGTCAATAATACCAACCGTGAATGATAGTCATAATAACCTTGACTAATTTGTATAAACGAAAATCTGCGATTCGAAGTCTTGCATATTTATTAATCAGATTGTTATTCAAATCAAGTATGAAGTGGTGCACAATATACCATAGCCTGTGTTTACCATGAATGGCCATACACCATGGCCATGCGTGTCGGATAAACGTGTTATTCATTATAGTATAGATATTTGTGTTTTTAAAAGACATGTTTAATTTCTTTCTGGCATAAACAAAGAACAGCTCTTCAAGATGACCAATTGCAATCAGTAAATTACAATCAGGGGAAATAACTGTACTGTGTGCTGAGGATTACGTACCGGATGTTTTGAGAATATGGCACTGACAGGAAAGATTGATGGGAAGAGGAGGAGAGGAGGAAATAGGGTATCCAAATTTGGATGAACAGTTGAAGAAATGGGTCACAGAGAGAGTGAGAGACAGACATAGACAGAGAGAGAGAGAGAGAGAGAGATGGAGAGGGAGAGAGAGGGGGCGTGGGTGAATATACTTTGGGTAAAAGTGATGGAGAAGACAGAGAGATGTGCAGGAGCATGATGAACCCTGTGATTACTTACAACATACTATAGATTTCATTTTTCTTTTATTGATTCTGGAAATTTCAATATTTGATCTTGCTATCTTAACTCAACTCTTGAAAAATTAGTCATCCATTCATCCTTGAAACAAATAGCTTGAATTTGCCCACAAATCTTGTTAAACTCTCTACCGACATGCACCTCAACAGAGACACATTGGTCACTAGAGGAGGTGTGGCACCCTGATCTTACCTTCTTTTTGACATTTACCAATCGTGGTCGTATGTATTGGCTCGAGATCGTTCCCTTGTCTGCTACATCTTGTCTCGTTCAGTTGGCATTCATCTTCATAGATACGATAGTCTCCTGGGTAACCCGCACAGACCGGTACCCTCCTCGGACACGGATTGGGTTGAGGCTCTCCACAACCTGAAGGAAACAATCAAGACTGTGATGTTAAAAGGCAGTAACGATTGTAAAACATTTTGCAATGAGAGGAAGCAATGATAAATAGTGCAGACTACTACACTTGGCTCCTTAATTTTGAACACCATCTAATGGGGTGGGGGTACCGTGAGCCAACCCTCGTCCATTTAATCTCGATCACGACGACGCCTAGCTACTACCATAACATTTACATGAACTTGTTTGTTGTTGTTGTTGTTGTTGTTATTGTGGGGGGGGGGGCATTAAAATCTATTTTTGTGTTTCTTTTGTTCATATGTGATCACTCGGCTTTCCACGCCCTTGTTCATTGATTACAACTCTGCCCGCCCGTACCCCCCCCCCCCCTGATGCATGTACCCCCTCAATCGCGGAATGGCTATTCATCGCCTCTGATCCATCCCAATAATTGAAATTTACAGAAAAACACATTTCTCAGAAATCTAGTTCAATACTCCACTGAGTGTAGGTATAGCTAAAAAGTCCTACGAAACGAGCAAAATTAAACGATTTCGTAAAGAGCCCATACATATAATACAGGTCTGCTCTCAAGAACAGTGATATTTTCAAGAATGGAGAGGTGATAGGATACTCTGCTTACTTTCTAGTTGACAGCTACGTGGATCGGCGTCGATTATTGGCTCCCGGCCATCACATCTCACTTTGTAGACCTCACATTCATTTTCATAGACACGATAGTTTCCTTCGGAACCTGTACAAACGGGCATCCTGCTCGGACATGGATCGGGTTGAGGCTTGCCACAACCTGGATGTTTAGAGAAACAAAGGAAACGATGACTTGAACACTGGCATTTTAAAATTCACACAATCGAATCATGATAAATAATTGTGGTATCCAAAGCCCTTGCATGGGCATTATATGATTATTCATGATTATTCAAATTTAATGCATTTTTTGCCATGGGAAAAGAAGAAGCAGAAGTAAAAGAAGAAGAAGAAGAACAACAACAACAACAACAGATAAGAAGGAAAAAACGAAGAAGAAGAAGAAAAAGAAGAAGAGGAAGAAGACGAAGAAGAAGACCCCAAAACAGATTGGATCCATGTAGAGGCTAGACCTGCAATGGTGGGTTACATCTGAGCTCAAATAGATTGATGACGCAAGAAAAGCGGATTATTATAATGATAGTAAAAAACACCAGACTATATCTTATATGCCATGTAGTGAATTTTTAAATAAATGTTGAATATATTTTTACTATCAAAATGTGTTCATAAACTGTAACATTATAGTTAGTAGGCAGTGGCGTAATGAGCAAAAACGTTTGGGAAGGCTGACAAAAAAAATCCGCATCACCCAACTCTAACATGCAGGCCCCGCTGAACGTTTTTTCAAAGTGGGGTCTAGGGGCAAAGCCCCGGTGGGGGTCAAGGGGCAGAGCCCCCGAATCTCAAGGGGTATGGACATCAGGGGAGGGTGTAGAGGCCACCGATTACCTACAAAACGAGCCACCAATTAATTACCGACAAATATATTAATGCCAATGTCCCAACAAATTTAACCCTGTAAACCCGGGGCCAGGAAATAAGTTATTTTTCAGTTTTTCCCCTCCCGCGCGCGGAAGCTTTTATACTAATTCATTAAATTATTAGAGAAAGAAGACGATCCGTTGTACCTTTCTCGACTCTTAATTCTTTCTTTCGCCCCTCCCGCGCGAAGCCGGAAGCTATGACGTTTCATTTAATTATTAGAGAACGAAGATGATTCATTGTACCGTTCTCGACTCTTAATCCTTGTCTGAATTCAGCCCCCCCCCCCTCCTTAACTCGAAAGAATACGATTCGTTGTATCGTGTCCTTGTCTGAATTCAGTTCCCCCCTCCGCGTGAAGCACGGAAGCTTTGACGCGTCATTAAAATATTACTCTTAGTCCTTGTCTGAACTTAGTTCCCCCCTCCCGCGCGTAGCGCGGAAGCTTTGACGTGTCATTAAGTTATTAGGGAAAGAAGCTATGCGTTTCATTAAATTATTAGAGAAAGAAGACGATTCGCTGTACTGATGTCTATCTTAGTCTTTGTCTGAATCAGTTTCCCTCCCTCCCGCAAAAAGCGCGGAAGCTTTGACGTTTCATTAATTATCAGAGAGAGAAGACGGTTGGCTTTACTGTTTTCGACACTTAATCCTTGTCTGAAATCAGTTTTCGCCCTCCCGTGCCAAGCGTGAAAGCTTTGACGTTTCATTAAATTATTAGAGAAAGAAGACGATTCGTTGTACTGATTTCTACTCTTAATCTTTGTCTGAATTCAGTCCCCCCCCCCCCCCGCGTGAAGTACGAAAGCTTTGACGTTTCAATAAATTATCAGAAAAAGAAGACGATTCGTTGTACTGACTCTTAATCATTGTCTGAATTTTCAAAAGTGTTTCTTTGTCCGATAAAAAGTCACAGTTCGTGGGGAAAAAAAATTGCCGGCCGACCGACATTAAACATCTCACCGACTTCAAACTTCTGCATTGATATACCTGTAGTACACGAGGATCGAGCAAGAATACCGACACAGCAACATAATTATTTATGCGTATCTTTCTTGCTCCCTCGACGAGACGACTCCAACCAACATCCCCTTTGCTCTCTTGCTCCCACCCCTCTTCTCGTAGGCTCTTACCACCCTCTCTCTCTCCTCTCTTTCACCCCCCCCCCCCCGTTACTTTTGTTTCCTTTTTCTCGTTTTTTCTTTTATTTTCATTTCCTTTCTTTCCTCTCCTTTCTCTTTTTCTTTTTTCTCTTTCTTTGTTCTCTTCTCTTTCCTTTCTTTCCTTGGACATGGTTCAATTTTATTTGGGGGGGGGGGGGCTAGCGCCCCTAGCCCCCCCCACCAGTACGCCAGTGTTAGTAGGCCTACTATGCCATTTATTTCATTTAGGCCTACAATCGAAAACCGTACGGAAACTGGAAAGAGATGCAATGTTATATATTTTTCCAACTGATTTGTGTATACAAATTACAAAACATCCAATGCTGCATGATAATATTGACAACATATAGCTTAGAACTGTTTGGTACCTCATGTTTAGAAATGATATGAAAAACGATGGTACTATATATGAATATATTATGAGTACTATCATCACTCACCTAAATCACAAAATGAATCATGCATTAGGAATGCTTTGGCTGCCATCATTTCTAGTAAATTGGCATAGTACTCCCCGTTTGATCCACATACCGTTATATTTATAAAGTCTGCAACAGGAAGTGAGAAAAACCATTAAATGATAGCATATCTAAAAGTAATATAAATAAAATGAATAATGTAGTCACGTTCCTGCGAATAATTTTGACATGCTCTTGACTAAAGAAGTCATATAGGCCTATGTGGAAATTAAAAAAAACCTTAAACCTTTCCCTAATCCAAAATAATTGTGATTTAGTGGAATACATGAAGCAAAAAAAAATATATATATATGCCTTTCATGACTAAAATATTGATCGGGGAATGTGCGCTTTAACCCTGGCCCGCGAAGGCTGGTTATGATTGAGATATTACCATCAACACATGACAGATGTCGGCCGGGGGGAAATTATTTTGCTTCTAATTTTAGTTGTGCTGAATCAGCTAGCCTTCTACCATCTGGAGGCCCTATCATGCACAATGACTCACTGTACTTTCTTATAAAGCATACAGATTAGATGACCAATACATGATCAGTTTTATATTTCATCCACTAACAAGACAATAGCTATGGGGGCCTGTATATTTTGAAAGAATGGCGACAGACTTTTCAATCTGCCAATCTACAGCAGTCATTTCATTCATTAACGACTAATCGGCATGAGTAACGGGGGCTGAAAAGAGGTTGCTGTACTGTACGACATTTTTTGTTTTAATCTGTCAGCAAATCCATAATCGTCAGAAGAAAAAAATTGGACCACCATCCCCACCCAACCCATTTCTCGTTCGTTTGCTTGTTCGAAGAAGAGAAAACATCGACAAAGACTGTATCACCATCAACTTGAAGTGCTGTAAGACATCACATTCAGAATGCCCAAGGCTTTGAGCGCTGTCACCTACACTTGAACCCAATTTTGAAATACTATCCGTGACAGCAGCAAGGAAAACTAAAGGAATATGCTGGTATATTAAATTTCTTCGTATTTAGCTCTTTAAACGTTTAATTGGCAAGGGATAGCTCTGTAGGAATTATATTGAAATCGAGAAAGAGGCCAGGTTCCTCCGACTAATGGTGGGGCTAACTTGAAGCCGATCATTCGATCTGCTACAAAACGAAATGTAGAAACTCGGCGACAATCTCATATGTCAATTCATGTACATTTCAAAATTAAATCAAACGAACTCGTGTTAAAAATACCATTATGAAAGGAAAGAATGAAGAACAGTACTTATGACGAACTATCTAAAATGTAATAGTTTATTCCTTCTTTTGTTTTGTGATACTTTAATTACAATGAGGGGAGCTTTCCACTCGATCATTGAAATATTGGTTCAAGATGACGGAACGCAATTCAAATAAGCAACTTCATGTTGGCGGGGAGAGGGGGGGGGGGGGAGTCTACGAGTCGAATGATATCATTTTAGCTACCATTTTTGTATGCCCATGGTGGGCGGCAGGGGCGGCGATTTCTTTTCATGACAGGGGGAGGGGGACGAAAAGCGATGGATGAGGGAGCAGTGGGGAAGAAAAACAAAATCCGCATCACCACCACTCTTACATGTTACATACAGGCCCCGCGGAACGTTTAATAAAGTGGGTGGGGGGAATAAGTATTAACGATCAGGAAGAACAAAGCGAGCGAAGCAAGTGGAGCGTAAGTTGGCGAGGGGTCCAGGGGCAGAGCCCCGTGAAGCTCATGGGTTTTAGGCATTTAATAGCGGTCAGATGAGCATCCAGGTGGCAGAGGCCCGGAAGCTCAGGGATTTTAGGCATTTCATTACGGTCAAATTAGCAACCAGGGGCCCGCCTTAGGGCCCTTGGTGGGGTCTAGTGGGTTAGCCCCCTGGGGGCTCTGGGAAAAATCATGCCATTTCAGCAACTTTTGTAAATCACTGGTATCGAATTAGAAATAGACCACATTTGAATTTGATTTGGGGGGGGGGGAGCAACTGCCCCAACCCCCCCCCCCATCAGTAGGCCAGTGCCAGGGAGCTTAGTGAACGAGAGGGGTGAATGTGACGGAAGTGGCTACCCACTCACAGGTTTTTGCAGTTTTGTTGTATTAAAAAGATACATTCCTAAGCAAAACTATAGTAAACAAAAAAAAGCAATATACTTTTTGCACACGAGAAGATTTTTGTATTTTTATTTGTCTAAACGCTGCTGCACTCTTGGGCCCTCCAGTGCCTAAAAGTGTGTTGCAGTCTTTAGTCAGTATTTGCTATGCATTTTTTGTGTGCATTTTCCGGGGGAAAACGTTCCCCCTAAACAAGTTGAAGGGGGACCCCCCCCCCCGTGACCGCCGCCCCTGTTGCGCGGCTCCTCGTTCTACACTTTAAAGCTTATCTGCCATAGTTTACAGGAGGGATTAGACCGCCCTGCAAGGTCACTGGACAGGTGGTTATCTCATCAACTCAGCTCTCAGTTAACATAAGAAAAAGAGCATCTTGGGGGACCAATGGTCACCGATTAGGCATTGTTTGTTATAATATAGAGGGCGCAAGTAGCTACAAGTAGTGCAGTGGGCCTTTAAGAAACCACTGGCCAGCAACTACTTTATCATACACAAATACATGTAATGAATGTTGACTTGGTATTGATTAACACACACAGTTCACCTCAATCCAAATTTGTTTTCGGACCCCTCAGATCAACAACAGACTGTGGTGCTGTAAAGTTTAATGGCACACAGTTAACATTGCTATATATTATCCGTATTAGCCGATTCATGTTGTCATTTATATTCTAATTATGTTTTAAGCAGTAAATACATTTAATTGCAATACTTAATCAAGTCAATGAACGTGAACAAGGCAGCAAGTTCGACTACTTATCCATTATCCCATAATCACCTTGTTCCTTTGACGGTTTTTATATTGGTTGATCCCTGTCTTTAATCCGATCCTAAAACAAAATATGAGAGATACTCTCGAGCGAGTGATCATTAACTAAATTGCCAAACCTACTTCCGAATGAATCATCGTATGTTATGCGTTCCATGGTTATACCATGACACGATCGATTTACTTTCTTACTACAGTATCCCCCAGAAAAACTAATTATCATCGCAAATGAAGTCCATGTGTGAAATCGCTCATATCGAACATCAAGAAATGAAAACAATATGTTCAACGACCCACTTGACAACCTCTAAGTATATGCGCTGACCTACACATGTAAACCGCATCTGGGTTGAACTTCAGCCAAGACAGTGTCTGCGGTTTTCAGAGTTTCCCCTTTTCTGTTGAATTAGCGGTTTTAGTTATAGTAGGGGTTGTGACAATAGGGGTCCTGTTTTCAAGGTAGTGGCAAAACTCATAAACTTGAGGATAGTGATTACACCAAACCTCCACGCTCTTTTACGTATGAACTATAACATGGAGGGTAGGGAATAAAATATAAATCTCTATACAGTGGCCCGAAAACTCTATTTAAGATAACTCCGGTACCAGAATAACTTGGTTTGAATAAAAAATAAGAATCAGAAAGATACAGATTAAAAACGAGATGATAGAGACCAAAACTCACATCTCCCTGATTGTATTAAATACAATGAAGAATACTCTTTCATAAAAGTTTCAAGGAAAGTAACCGCCGGAAATATAGCGGTGATGTCATCGCCTCACTATTCACCTACACTGTATTGTCCTCCGTTTATTTCGATATAACCCTAATTAACAGCCCCCACCCCGGAACAATTTCGTCAAACTAATATCCTCGGTGTTATGACTGTGCGTTCTATTTCATGAATGTACCCTAGCTTGCCTCTTAATTGCCCCTCTACACCATTGTAGCAAAGATCAGAATGTCTTCCTGTGATTGGACAGACAATGGTAAAGTAAAAGAGATCACTTTGTGTTTATTCCATTCTTTTTGTCTTCTACACTCTAAAAACCCAAACATTTGAAAAGGCAAAGAGTGACATCGATTTTACAATGGTAGTAGATTTAATATTAATAGCACTTTTTAACGTGCTGTATTCAAACGACCAAGCATGTTTAAAGTATAAATCTACCATTTGAAAATGTTGTCACTTCTCGACACTTTTAAATTTTGATTTAACATTTGAGATTTTAGAATGAACGTTATATTCACTTTCGTTTCCATTCGTGGTGAATTAATAATTATCGAGTAATTACATACACTGTAATACCGCTGTAGAGGGGGGGGGGGGGCAGAACCATACTAAATCGATGAAATCTTAGTGGCCTAGCTAGCTACCACCAGGTAAAGACAAACAAGATTGCCTTATATATAACTCGTATGGAATTCCACGTTCATTAGCTTATCGATTCATATAATTAGTATTCATTGGCATGGTACCCTTATTGTGTAACCATTGGACTCTTTGCGATGATTAACTACAGAAACCTAATTAGTAATGAATAACAATTATCCGATTACGCAACAGTTTGAAAGCCTATATTATTAGTGACCTGTGCACTATCAAGGCCTGGGCAAACATGACGTACGAACGAGGACCGTAATCTTCTTGTCTAAACAAAATTCCACACCTTTGTATTTTTTCTTCTCGAAAGCTTCAACAGTAATGTTTAAAAAGTAGTTTCTCCATACCTTCACGAAACTGCTATGAACTTGTAGATTGGTCATTCAATTCTTTATGAGGTTTTCTGTTATCTGTTCTTCAATCAATATGAATTTTAAGAATATAACAAGATTTAGATTGTGTGTTATGATGATCGACATATATATATATATATATATATATATATATATATAGTTGTGTTTGTAGCTAGTTTCAGCTACAAATCTTCTACTAGTAATGGTTCAAGGTCATCCTATTACAAGTTTTGTTTGGACAATTACTCACTTGTCATTGTTGTATTTACATTTATCATGTGTCGATTTCTAGGCGCGATTCTATTTTCATCATTTTCCCTCCAAATAAATGGTTTTGTTTTTTCACTTCAATTTCAATTTTTGTCGAATGGAGATTTGCTTTGCTTCGCTCACATGTTTATATATAGATGTAATCCATTCGTCTCCATCAAACATCGGACATCCCTTTCAAGAGCAGAAGTTTTCTTTTCTTTTCTCGAACTCTTAATTCATAAAAATATCGTGAAACCTACACAATTTCTAAAAGATGTAATCCCCTTTATGTAATGCTACCATAACAATTCTAGCATAATCACTTATGTCTATCGTTTCATCCCTTTTATCCTTTTCATGCTCTGCTGCTTACAGTATGGCAGTCTCAAATAATGTGAGAATACATATTTAGAATATTTTGTTTTACTAGTTAGATAATTAAGTTTGCCAATACATGTTAATTGAAACCAGGTTGCCTATACGTAAAATAGTTTGACCTGGTAGACCAATGACCTTTCCTGCATACCTCAATCACAAATAACATTACTCAAAACCAGTATGATGTAAATTTGTATTACCATTCGTGTTATCAAGTGCTCTTGGCGGTCTCAACCTAGCTCTCATGGTAGCCACAGTACTGAATAGGGCGCTCGAGCTTGAGCCAGATCGTCTAGTTCGAGGTTCAATGTACTCTTCTGAAGTATCCTCGTTGTCGTCGTCATTAGCCCTTGTCGTCGAGGTTTGGCACTTTATCACGATCACGAAGAGAATCAAGGATATGTTTCTAAAAGCTCGTGGTAAAGCCATGTTTCTTAAAGTCAAGATGATGATAGTAGAATGATTGGATCGCTAATTGCCGCGATGTTGTGCATACAGCGGTCAGTGCGCTCACGTACGTTCTCAATAAATTGTTTCCCAGTTGTCCCCTGAGCTGACTTCCGATTGCACGATGATGATTTATTCCAATTAGTCCGGCTATATTTCCAGATTGTTATATTTCCTTCGAATATCAGTGGATATTTTTCCTACCGGAGCTGATGGAATGTTTTATCACGTTACAGCGAGAGGACATACGCGTATGGCATGGCGAGCTTTCTGATTCCAGTGGTCTATACGTCCACGTTGAAGGAATGGCTCCTAGCTAGGCTATAATAAAGCTGTAGGGATTCTGTCTGTTTGCTCACAGGTGCCGTGTCATGTTCGTGTCAAGCTGGAGCAACTGCTAAAAAGTAGATTTACTTCAATCGGTGTCGTGACAGCGTGCCGCCCTCGACCACCTGTCCCTCTCTCCACCCTCAGCTAGGTTTCCCGTGTACGTGATTACCTGAATACCGTCAGATTGTTTGGGGCAAGGGTGGGGTTACTGGGGTGGATTTCTCATTCACACAAGAGAGATGATTAAGCTCTTTCGTCAATACAGATTTTAATTCACGCATAGAAATTCGTATGAACACAACCGGTGCATGCAACGTCACAATGTAAAAAAAACGGGCTTCAAGTTCTGCCACCCTAGAGACTCGCCGAACACAAGCACCGTTGCAAAAATATTGCTTTGTGAAGCATACCAAAATATTTTGACGGCTATATAATTATCCAGCGTCAGTTCGTCACATGCAAGCATCGAATCCGACAATTGAAAAGTTTCCACTGGCCATAACAAACGGGGGAATGCGTTATATAATTGTAGTATAGCTACGTAAGCCACTTTTCGGGCCGGAAACTATTAAACAAAAGTTAAACAAAAAAAAGAGTCAGTATGGTGGGTGAGGATGAGAAGCAGATGATGACGTCGTAATAGAGCGGACTTCCTGTTCTCATTGTGCGATGTCAGAGCGGTATGAAAATTGAATGAAAAAAAAAAACACCCGAACAGATATCAATGACAGTGCCCCAGTACCCTTTGTCAACCCACTGAGGTTACACCGCTATACCATTTATACATGAGTTTATTTTACAACTGCAGGCTGGGCCACAATATGCACATAAGAATTGATCCGTCATCACAGTTAAATTGTTTTGTTTTTTAAATTCGCTTTTGACTGAGTAATACTTCAGACCACAAACACCCTTTACAATAATTAACACCTAATATAAAAGAGTATATCCAATGCTCACATTAAGCTAGGGCTGCTACAAATGAATAATTTCGTTTGACATTTAACTTTCCCCTGTAATGATACTCTTGCCCCCTCCCCGTACGCATTATTACAACTTACTGCACGGCTTTTTGATACGGGGGGGGGGGGGGGTGAGATATTCCATTGGATGGGATAGGACAATTGACTTTAAAGATAATTTTTTGTTCTACTTCAGTGGATGTTGTTCCAGGGGTCTAGGGGCGCGTGCCTCTCCGGCCCCAAAAAGAGAGGGGAGGGGTAAAAAGGCCTTTTTACTTTTATTCTAATTTGTTTGTGATATAATTTTCGGACTTGGGGGATATTCCATTGGATGTGAGAGGACAATTGACTTTAAAGATAATTTATTTGTTCTACTTCAGTGGATGTTGTCCCAGGGGTCTAGGGGCGCGTGCCTCTCCGGCCCCAAAAAGAGAGGAGAGGGGTAAAAAGGCCTGATTACTTTTATTCTAATTTGTTTGTGATATAATTTTCGGACTTGTGCCCCCCCCCCCCCCCCCCCCCCTCTCCCC